GAGTGGACACAGATTACAGACAATGAGCAAGGGGTGAATCTCTTCACCTCTATCAACGTCCATGATCTCCCTTTTGTGGTCCAAACAAAAAAAATCTCCCTTGTTCTCTACAAATAGCGAAATCACAACTAATCCCATGGGCCTGCTGAGTTATTTATTTGGCAAATGTAAAAATATCGAAGATTGTACGGAAATATTTCTAGTTCTGATAAAACCGAGGAGAAAGATTGGGTCAAATTATTCTTATTAACATACTATTGGATTTTGAGTCCCTTTGGGGGGGGTCACTTTGGTTTGTAGAATGTCCTTGTTATTAAAATGAAAAAGACATGTTTGATTCCTTATAGATAGGATATTTAAATTAAAACTCATTTAAAATGACTTATAAATAATTTTTTAATCATACTTTAAAAGAAAATATGAGATAAGTTTATAAGTAAAAATTAATTTATGGGTACCTAAATAAATCAACCCAAGACGATAGTATAGTTGATTTCGTTAAGAGACTTTAACAAAAACATGCTTGCGAAATCTTTCATTCTAATCTAAGGTCGGTGATGGATCAATGAACTAGAAGAAGGAAAAGAGAATAATATTGCCTCCACTCCTAAATATAAAAATAAATTAAGAAAAGAAGTTAAATTAGTTATTTATGATAAATAAGTATTATCTTTCTTAAAATATCTTTGCAAATCAAATTTATTGATTAGAAATACTATTCTTAGAATGACTATCATCGAAAAAAATGGATAAATATGATAAATACAGTAAATTAGGGTCTTATATTTAAGACCAGAATAAAAATTAAACAATGTCTTATAGTACTACCTTTGGTTCTTAATATAAGACCTCATTTGACTTTTATTTTTGTCCTAATTATAAAACTCTAATCCACTTTGTCTCTCATATTTATGTATTTTTTTTAAGGTATCCTTTTAATAATGATAGTTCTAGCTAATAAACTTGATTAGTAAAGATATTTTAAGAAAGAAAATACAAATTTATTATAAATAAGTAATTTAATTTATTTTTTTAATCTTTTTAAATTAGCTACTAGTTTTTATAATTAGAATCGAGGCAGTATTAATCACCGATGATAAGTAATCAGAGTTGAATTTGCTTGGTCAACCCACCGAGGCCACCTCGCGGACCTTTTGTTTTAGGATCAGACAGCATAGAATGTCATTTATAGGGGTTGCAGGATGGCATTTATTTTGTGCGCTGGGTGATTTTCTACTTGCGTAACCTTCAAATTAATAATATAACTAGTTGCCTCGCTATGGAGGGGGAAAACGAGAAGCAGTCAAGCAGCAAAGGCCGCTGGAAAAGGAAGGGTTAAAAGGAGAGAACTGTAGAGAAGCCCAGCGAAAGCGAACATAGGGTTTGTTTGGATTGACTTATAAGTAGCTTTTCAAACGTGATTTACGAAATACGAGATAAGCATGTGAAGAGAGTTTTATCTCGGCTTACGTGAACTTACTTAAAAGCCCGTTTTGAACGGAGCTCCAAACAAGCCAATAATGATTTTACAGGCATGAGGCCTCACCAATCCTCACGTGACTCTCTTACCTTCTTTATGCTTTTTTATACTTTTCTCTTTAGCCGTTTCATTCATGGGCAAGAAGCAAGCATTTATATTATACTCTTCTGGTTTTTAATATAGAACTTAATTATTAAATTAATTTTAATTTTAAATATGAGAAATATTTTTCATATTTATTAATTTTTTTTAAAATTATTTGTATGAATCTCTCTCAACCATAATTAAAGAAGAAGAAAGAGAGAGGATATTAAGAAAGATGATTATGATATTTCAATAAAAAAATTATAATTCTTATAATTAACTAACTTATCTAACTTTTTTAATTTAATCAAGTTAGTTAAATAGAATCGGAAAAATAATATGTAAACGCCGGTACAATATATATAACTATATATATATATATATATATATATATATCGGAAAGCCAACGACACATGAGCGCACAGTCTTGGTCTTGCCCAGCCCCTCCACATCCACAGCCGCAGAGTTTGAGGAACAAACCACTGGGAGTTCCCAACACCTTTTATATCACATATATATATATATGTTTTTTTTCTTATATATCTTCCAAAATACTCGTTCAATTCTTAATGTATAAGTTATTTAACTTAATTAAATAAACTGGAGTGAAAAAATGATTAATTATACTCGATTTATTCAAAAATAGTTATTTAAAACATGATATTTTGTTAGGCTTCTTAAACATCCAATCAGAAGATCATCCTTAGTGGAGAGGGTCCTGTGACCGATACTAAAATCTTTTTAAGAAGTCCGTGATATGAAGAGATTAATTACTGTTGCCAGCGGTAAATATTCTATCAACAGTGGATATTTTAGGCTAAAAAAAACATGATATTTTTTAGAATGATCAATTGGGACCTAATACCATAGTGGTTCGCTTTTGATAATTAATTAATTTGGTCAAAATAAGTAAAGAAAAATAGAAGAGCTAGGATCTTGGGTTGTCCCCATTAAAAAGCAAGGACCTAGCCCCCGACACCTCATGCTGCCCCTACTTTAGCCTCTGTCCTACTCTACCATTTTCATCTCTTTGATGTCATCCCCATCTCACACATTCGTATCAGAATCATTCACAAACCAATCCCCCTCCAAACCCAAAAAAAGTCGGGTCACCATATTATGCTCCGAACCGCTCCGAACTCATGCTGCCATTTTATTCTGCCTGCTCCTGCCAATTAAAGTGCATCTGTCTTTCCCCTTATTTTAAATCCCTCCTAATCCTGAAAAGTTATTCTTCTAATAACCATTTTGTAGTCTGTGTAGATAGTATTATTAAATTCCATAACATGCCCTCACATCCATGTGCTTCTCACACCCCTTCCTTCCCCAACCTCACCTTGCATTCCAATAATCCCCGTTTCTTTCTCTCTTTTAAATTCCCTGCACGCTTCCCCGTACTTGAATCATGATTCCCTATCAATATTTTAATCTATTTAATTTAATTTTGGTTTTTTGTTTACTACTCCCTCCGTTTCTTATTATAAGAGACATTTGATGCTTATGGCATGTTCCTATATATAAGAGACACTTACAAGTTGTTCTACTTTTTGTGTTGATTTATTATTTTACCCATATTTATTATCTCCAACTCACACTCTCCCTCCCTCCCACTTCTCTTTCTTTAATAATTTAATTGTTCTCTCTCATGCTCTCTCTCCTTATTAATGAGGGCATCTTTGGAAAAAAAAATATACTTTTTACACATTAATCGTTCTCAACTAATTTTAACTGTTTTTTTTTATCAACGTACTTCGGTTATTTGTCTCTTATAATAAGAAACGGAGGGAGTATAGTTTAACCCTTTTTAATCACTTGTATAATGGCAGTTTGAACATGGATCGAGGAAATCAAGTTGAAGGATTATGTATGACTCCCGGGCCCTTAAATCCAAATTGTTGTGGCATAGTAGTTAGGTAGTGTTATTTGTTAATGCGTATTATTAAAATATGAAAAAAAGTTGGATTTTGAGCTGTCCTCGTGGCATCCATTACCATTAACTTTGTCATCGGGACGACCAAAACCTTAGGGGCTTCCGTGGAAACTAGAGCTGTGAGTATTATATACGTGTGATGTTCTTGCCACAGCGAGATGATGAGATAACTTATTTAAATCACTATTGCCAATATCCAGACGGGTTCATTTCTTAAACTCCCAAAACATAGATTAGCCCTTCGCCACATCTTTTCCAACGCTATAAATCTCATCCATAACTAATCTCCCTCGCTCCAAATAAGCTAATCGCCAAGGCTCGAAGCTCAAAAAAGTTATTTTTTTAAAAAAAATTGGCCATCGTATTCGCAGCAAGAAGGCTATTATAATAATTCGGTTTACTTAAGGGTGGGTTATTAGCATATGATTCTAGGCGAATAAAGATAGATCATAGGTCCGATTTCTTGAGTCAGACGTTTCTAATAACAACAACATGGATTATTCAAACCCCTGCGTCACATGCACGCCATTAAATTAATACAAGGAGAGTATAAAAATATTGAGTAAATAATTGATGTGAGGGTGATTCTTATGTGCATGTTCCCGTATCCTATCAAATTTAATGTATTTTGGGAGGGTGCGATTATCGAATATTCGCACGGCATTAGACCAAGCATTATTTTAATCACCAGACGCCTCCCAGCATGTGAGGAAATCTTGGGATTGAGCCCTGCTTCATTTTGCCTCATACTATATTAATTTACCATGCTCCCCTTTACCATTTTGATTAAGGATATTATTTTTCCAACTCGTGGATCCCTTCTTTTTTTTTTTTTTGAAGAAAAAAAATCAAAGCCTGTGCATTATATATACTGGTTCGATTCAAGAAACTTCTCGAAGAGTGTTGTAGAAAATAATCAACACTGCACAATGAATAAATCAACGGACATAGGTAGCATTTTCCAGGAGCTTGAACTATATCAACGGTCTAAAAGAGATAATCAAACTGATAAAGCGATATACAGCTTGAACTACATAACACGTTACACGAATAAAAAAGAAAAAGCTTACAATATTATTACTAGAAGAACGCTAATACTAATAAATTCATATGGCCGTTGGTCGTGAAAACTTGTGATGACGAACACTAGGGACACTGTCATATGATGTTGCCATTGACCGGATTTCATGCATGCACAAAGGTAAGGGATCCAAATCCTTGTTTCTGTATATTTCACGTGGGTCATGGATAACACAAAAACAGGTATTACGTGGATCATACTTTTGGACCAGAACAGTTTTGTTTAGCTCCAAAATCCATTAGACCCAAGGTAATAGAATAGAGGCCCAATGCACTTTCAATGACTGGATAGCAAGGCAGGTACCACCGGCCATATTGCGTCCCGTGAAGGTTGTTTGTTAGGTCAACGCTTGTTTTCTTTGGGCCCAAACAAGTAAAGTCCGCCAACCTACAAGGACGTTCGGATCGAAAAGTGCTACTTCTCCCAGAGCGACGAAAAACGAAGTAGGGGTTTTAGGGTTTCTGATAGATTTGGGGATTTAGGGATTTTGTACAGTTAGGAAGCGTGCAGATTAGTTGAAGATGGATTCTGATCAAGCCAAGCTGTTTGTGGGTGGCATTTCCAGGGACACTACCGAAGATGTTTTGAAAGACCACTTCGCCAAGTACGGCTCTGTTCTGGGTTCCACAATTTCGTTGGACCGCAACACCAAAATTCCTAGAGGCTTTGGCTTCGTTAGGTTCTCCGACGTTTCAGCGGCTGATAAAGCCCTTCAAGACACGCATGTTATACTGGGAAGAACGGTCTGTTCAACTTCACTTTTCCTTTGTACTTCTTTTTTATCTTTTTATTTTTTTGCTTGATGAAAGACTTACTTCTGGGAACCGAAGATAAATTTAAGGTAGGATGAGTTGTGCCAAATGAGTGATGTCGTGCATTATTGCTTAAGAACCGGGTCCTTTATGCCTGTTTCATGTATTAAGTCTGTATCTGCAACGTCTATTTTCAATGGCCAAGAAACCAAAATGAACAGTAGAAATTTCTTTTGGGGTTGCTTGATTTGTGATATTCTTGCACAGGTAGAAGTGAAGAAAGCAATACCTAGAAGTGAACACCAACATCAAAACCTACCCCAGAGTAGAGGCACGAGTAACTGTAGTAATTATGACAGTAGCAGCGACCACGTTAGCACCAAAAAGGTTTTTGTAGGAGGCCTATCAGCTGGTATATCGGAGGATGAGTTTAAGCGGTATTTCGAGAGATTTGGTAGAATAACAGATGTAGTGGTGATGCAGGACAGTATAACTCACCGGCCTAGGGGGTTTGGTTTCATTACATTTGATTCGGAAGAATCTGTTGAAAGTGTGATGATGAAAAGCTTCCATGACTTGAATGGTAGACAGGTGGAGGTCAAGAGGGCTGTGCCAAAAGACGGGAATCATGGTTATGATGGTGTTAATAGAATGAGATACAAGAATGGAAGAGGAGCCCCTAAAACTTCCCCTCAGTATAGTCCTAGGTACATTCCCCCTGCGTTTGCACCTCTTCCCTGGTACAGTGGGGATGGATTGTATTTTTATGGATCTAACATGTATGGGTGCTGGCTCCCTATGGGAGGGTATGGCTGCAATGGATCTGCAGTTCCATTTGATGTTCCTAGGAATTTCTGGTATGGTCCTCCGGTAGCAACTGCTCAGACATGCCAGGTGCCTTATGCTTCTCCAACCCACGCATTTGGGAGTGTTAGGGGTGTACTCGGTACTGAAACTAGGGGCTACAATGGCATCATGGGATCTGCAGCGAGTTTTAAATCCAATCAGGTTTTCAGTGCCAATGGATTTCTACCGGCTGATGTTACATCATCATCTCCTAAGATTGAAGAGTTGAAGCAGGAAGTGGAGTCTCTAAGTTTGAAAGAAACCAGTGCTGACATCTAGCTAACAGACTAAAAGGATAACTCGGCCTAAAAACCCGTAGGTAAATTCTTGCTGACTGCTCCTTACGCGGCAATGAAAGGTTGGTCTATTCTTTGATGGATGGTGGAAGAGTTTGTCACTCTTATTCTGGTCTGTATAAAATTTGCCAAGTTACCTCTTCTGTGCTATAAATATGTGTTAAATTAGTTATAGCTTTCTGTCATGTCTAGTTTTGGAGTTTTATCAGTAGAGGATTCGGGCTCATGTAAAATAATGGCATTGGAAATCCTTTTTTCTGTTTTTCTTGTCTATAAATAGGTGCTGTCTATGTTTGTCTGCAGAATGGAATCGCCCATCTCACTGTTGCATACTCCATACCGTTGCTTCTGTCGATCTTTAGCACCCTTCGTGGTTGAAATGCATTGAGACCTTTATTGGTCTTCCAATATCATGTACTCTGACTCCGCCCTCCTTCAGATTTTTCATTCTCGTTGCGACGGTAAAAAGCCTGTGTTACAGGTCGGGTGAAATAGTCCACCAACTAATCTAATCGTACAATTAAATGCATTTTATAACATTGTTGTTTATTCATGCGTAATCTAGTGGGATTGAAACCAATGTGATGAGCTGACATGTGAAATACTGGCTGTATTGTACGGTGCATGATGCGCGCTTATGAGATTATTATGGGTAATGTCACGTCATTTTCTGGTCTCCTAGTGATGTATTGCGACTTTTTCAAATCACTGCCCGTTGTTATCGTGATATCTTTTGGATGTTATGATTTGGATCGAACTCCGTAATGCTTGGTAAGGGTAAGGCGCTGAGATCTGTTACCCAGCCGTTTGAATTGCAATGTGAGAGATCTTGAAGTGGAAATCGGGCGAGACTGGTCATACGTCCTACCTCTCTTTTAAAGGACCTTGCCATAAAAATTCATTAGAAAGTTACTTCAATGCTATGAATTCTGTGTAATATATGAGAGTGTGTATTTTTCTTTTTCGGTTCAAAACGAGAACATATGTTGTTCGGAAGATTCTGATGGAGCGTCTTGTTCGTTATCGAGATTTATGTACCCGGAATTTGCATAAAAATAAAATAAAAAACACTGATAAAATTAGATACGAGGGGAGAGAGAGAGCGGTTAATTTGAGACTTGGAGTTGGGATTATTATTTTTGCTGAGAGGATTGTTGTTATATCTCAAATAATATAAAAAGTCTTGAATATCTTTTTTGGTCTTGCAAGTAAAAATACTGAAATAAAGTAATTCATAATTTATTCACCAAACAAAAGGTAATCTCATCGTTTAGATGTTCCATTTTACATAATTATATGGACAATCAATGTTAATATTCTCAGAGCAGAGTCGAGGTAACTAATAGCCGCCCCGACGATAATTTTTCACCGCGCTGGGAATCTGCTGAGGGAGTGAACTGTGAAGGGTGTCTTGCGGATAGTTGGCTTTCTTAATTTTACACGCGCGCGCGCGCGCACACTATTTTGGACTTTCTTGCGGATATTGAGGCGAGGCAAATCCGATCAACGGCTGAAAAAATGGGGAAAAAGGGGAAATAACATCAGATATAAAATTGGGCATTCGTTAGCTTAGCTTAACGATATTGTGTGCTGGAAGACGAAAGTGGTGGCTATAGTGATAGCGAGAGAATGATTCTGATTAGCCAAGCTCCTGGAGGAGCACTGTCTGCCAGATGTTCCCTTCCGTCCCCGGCGAAATTCGTCGATGCAAATCCGTCACTCTTCGGCAACCGTAAACCCAAATTGATCACCAGACGAAGCCATGTAAAACCCTTGCAAATTACTCGCGCCAAGGCCGAGGGAAGCGTCGAGTCAGGTTCAGCTTCCGCTAGCACCACCGCGTCTGCTCCTTCCGCCAATGACGAAATGGTTTTCGTGGGTGGAAAAGATTTCCCTTTGGAAGGTGTGATCCAATTCGAGAAACCCAGCAATTCTTCTCGTTTTCGAAAATGGGGGTAATTCTAACTTTTGCAAGTTTAATTATTTTATTGCTTGCATAAAAGGGAATGCTTTTGCTAACATTCTGTGGGAAATTATGGTATTGGGTTATTGTGTTGCAGACGTGTGGCTCTTTTTGCTGGGGGGGATGTGATGGCCTTGATTTTATTTGCGGCTATTGGAAGATTTAGTCATGGGTTATCAACTTTTGACATTGAGACACTAAAAACGGCTGACCCTTTCATAGCTGGTATGCTTGTTTATTGTTTTTAAATTGATTAATGCAGCGATATTTTTATTTGCGTGTTTCTCATTAGGGAAGGATAGCATAAAAAGATACTGACAGATTGGAAAATTTAATACCACAGGCTGGTTTTTGAGTGCTTACTTCCTCGGAGGTTACGGGGAGGATGGGCGTGGAATGAATGGTCTATCAAAGGGTGTCATAGCTACTGCCAAATCTTGGGCTCTTGGGATCCCTGTAAGTTGAATATGACAAATTGCGGCTTTTGCAATTGCTTTAATACACATAATTAGCTATTTCGCTATAGCTTATGTTTTGTTTCCAATTCTATGACCAAAAGAATGCTTGCTTGAACTCTTTTAGTTTTCTTCTATCCACAAGACATTTTCAATGTTGTCTTGGTTGATTTTGTCGTAAATTCACATCTATCTTTGACTTAGTTATCTGAATTTACTCCTTTTAACTCATATATGGTTTGACAAGAAAATTACCTGCACTTTAAACAGTTGAGATAATGGGATTGCTCCATCCACAAAGTGAAAACAAAATTACATTGTGATAGGAGTCGTTTCTTTCATACCATGGTTGTCCTTGAAATGATATTGTTTCTCACTATTTAATTTTAACCTTCTTGGCAGATAGGAATTATGATAAGGGCTGCAACGACAGGTCATTTTCCAAACTACGGTTTCATTTTTGTGAGTATGGGAAGCACTGCTGTTTTGCTGACCACGTTTAGAGCATTATTATATACTATTTTTCCATCTAAAAATAGTAAGAAGAGCGACGATTATCGCCGTGGAAGTCCCTTTGAACTTTTTGAGGTATATGAACTTCTTTCTTCGGCTGATCCTGAAATTTTTGTTTTCTTCTTTGATTCTACGTTTGGATCAGGTTTTTCATGTATAACTGATTTCATATAAAATTGAATCTTATGCCGTGGTCCTGTATTCCTGAATATGTTTTCTAATTGCATATAATATTGCTGATCTTGTTGCTGTCTGCTAATTTTATGCTGTTGTGACCAGGGGAAAAAACAGGAACTTTTTAATTTTCTAGTTTCTAGCAACAGAGCAGCCGTTGCTATCTTGAGTGAGCACAAGGAATTCCTGTTTGTCATTGCTAAAACTAGATTCAAAATTTTTGGCAAGAATATGAAAACTGCTTGTAAACCTTTGCGTTAAATGTAAATAGCCCCATGAACTTTCAAAACTCGAATGTACTTTCCATAATTTTCATACTTTATGAAATAGGTATATTTATCTATTTCATCTGTTAGTGTTAGCTCATATGTGACCTCAGCTCCTTAGCTCACGTGGCAAGCTCTCATTTGTCCCCAGTTTAGCATTTAGGGGTATTTATAAAGTAACAAAGATGGGGATGAAATTGATAGGAGGACCCAGCTCCGAAAATATGAAAGTGAAGAGCTTATTTCAGTTTCAAGAATTTAGGGAACCATTTGTGAGCGACCAAAGTGGTGTTTATGCGTTTTCCCTTGATTTTTAATACGTAATTTTAGAAAATTAGATATTGACACAACCTACAGACTGCTGTTTTATACTTTTATTATGACACCTAATTACAATGCTGACAAGTTTCAGTTCATTGTGCAAATTAATCCCAATTTGTTAATAGTTTCTTTTGAATTCCGCATACTGATCTTGTTATTGGCTTTTATTGCTATGTTACAAATTCTATTAGCAATTGAGTAGCCTTCTGTGAGGGCAATAAAAGTACTGAATTCTGATATAAATTATGTTCTCCTTTGCAGTTGCTTACGTCGTTAGTACGGAGATGGTAGCGGCTAGTTGAAAATTCAACCCACTTTTAATGTGTACATATGTTACTAAGAGGTATATATTGATTCCTTATCACTTTTCTTAGGCAAACTTGTTTGCTTTTATGTTTTTTTTATCAGATAATGCAGTACAGTGAGTCATTTTAATCTACTCTCATTCTTCTAGATGCACTTTTGTCGACTGGATTGTGAGATTTCCTGTATTTTGAGATGCTCAGCATGCCATAAAATGAATTAGCGACGCAGCAGAAGGAATAAATATTAACTAATTCGGTTTTGACTTTTGAGTACATTTACCCTTTAGAATAGTAAGAATAGAAGGAGGAGGTGTTGGCATTGGGGCTGCATGGCACTTGGTGTCCCCAAGGGCCCGGGTGCATTGGATAAAATTAGTCATTAAGCTGGATGCATAGTTCAATGGCCAACAACACTAGAACTAGAAAGCCTGATATTGTTTTGAGTTCTCACTGTCAAATTCAAACTTGAAGCTGCCTTGCCATCAACATCATGAAATATGCATTCACCTGAATCAAAAAGCATGTGACTATTACTGGATGCTAGCTTTTGTGAATAAACACGCAAGAATTCACACACTGTCACAATTCATTTTTTATTATTTTTTGGTACAGGGATCTCAAGGGGGTAGATGGGGTCCGAAAGGGGAGTACTACGAGAAGCTGCTGCTAATGCTTCTGTTCGTTTTCACGTAATACCTTACTGTCCAGAGAAGATAATAAAAATAATAGTGCAATATAGTTTGGCGCAGAATACTTCAGGGCCATGAGCACGATTCTAGGGTAGCTTCTTCTATAATACGGAAATCAGGTTATGGATCATTGGCTTACGTGTTTAATCTGTGAGCTGCTATTACTCTTTTGCCTTTTAGTTGTTGATCTCATGCCCCTCCATAAGCAAAGAATACATCGTGATTGCCGCCAACGGCTTCATCATTTTCGTAGCAGAAAAGAAGGGAGAAAGAGACATGGATATTATAATTAGGGGAAGGGGAAAAAGAGAGTGAACATTGTGATAAAATGCTGAATATTACATCGTTGTCATGGTCCACAGTTAATATTCCTGCAAATCTTGCGTATACCAAGCACGGCAGTAGTCGGCTCCATTCCAAGCCTGTTGCTTCGTTGTTCGTAGTCTCGACTAACTTTATTTAGGATGAAATTTTAAAAAGTAGGTTCTTTTTTTCTTAAAAATAAATAAATAAATATTCTGGTCAATTTTTTATTGACTTGGAAAATAAATGCGTGTTTTTTAACACGAAATTAAGTAGTCTACTCCCCATGAGTTCAATAAATGAAGACAGAAGCAATATACAAATACTGCTGACCCAACAGTTTATGGGCCTCATTTCCATTTAGGGGGTGTTTGGCAAAACCAAAACCTAGGTTTCAGAAGCACTTTTTCGCAAAACGAGATAATCTCCTCCACATATTTACTTCGTAATCCGTAAAAGCACTTCTGAAACCATAGTTTAGTTTCTATCCAAACACCCTCTTAGTCTGGAGCAACATTGAGTGCTGGTGAAGCTTATTTGTTAATAATGTTCACCCCACTTATAAAAGCCTTGCCCTTTTTTCTTTTTAAGTTCAATTAACGGTGTGGGCGATAACAGGCTTGAGGTTTTAAGGGGCGAGTTTTTATGCCACTAGATAATATTACTTCTAGTCCTATAAATGAAATCTTCTAAACAAGACAGGAGGTAGTAAGCCTATTTTCCCTCTCAGGCGACAAAAAGAAGAAGCCTATTTTCCCTCTATTTCTCCTACTGAACGACGTTTTTTTTTTAATAAAATAATTAAAATAAGGAGAACCTGCGCAAATCATCAGGCTGTCGTAAAACAGCAGTCATATTACATTCTGACTAATACATCGCCAATCTATACCATTTTCATCGTATCTCTGACGATTGAGAATTTACTCAAATTTAGCGAACGAGTGATCTCAAATTTTAACAAAATTTAGTTATGATCTCCCTGGATTCCCATCCCCCTTCACTTTCTTTCTTTCCAGTTTACACAAATATCCTTTATTTAAATCAAGTGGGTGTTTGGATTAGGAAAAAAAATGCTTTTCAAACGAGACAAAAGGGGTGTTTGGCAAAACCAAAACCAAGATTTCAGAATCACTTTTCCGTAAAACGAGGTAACCTCCTCCACATATTTACTTCGTAATCCGTAAAAGCACTTTTGAAACCATGGTTTGGTTTCTATCCAAACACCCCCAAATTCTTCTTAAAACTACGACGGTGATTCTATCTGAACATCTCCTAGATTTCCTAATATCAAAGCCAGCCCGCGTCCCGGGGCCTGATTTCGTCGGTCAGATGCCGACACCAGGGGCCAAAACATAAAAGTCTTATGTAAAACTTATTTAAATCCATAAATATATATAAACGATACAGATCGGAGAAGGATTGGACAGCACTGGGCTGAGCTGATATAGGGCTCATCGGATAGGCTAGGCTGTTAGTGCCGCAAGCCGTCGGGAAAAGTTTCTATAGTCTCTGCCTGCGGTGTCAAATCACATCCCTCTCTGCAGACTTCTCTTTTTTCTGTTTTCTCTCTCTCTTATGTGTATTTTTTAATTCTTTCAAGTTTCCACATTATTTTTTTTCCCTCTGCAAGTTACTCATTATGCAAAGTTGACCTTGCTTGACATCGCGTGTGAAGTTCCATTTATGTATCGTTGATTTTGACTTTTATTGGCTTACGTTTCGCCATCAATACCACTTTTCGTTGATTGATGAATTATGTATACATAATAACATATATCAGTTTCAGATTCAGATTAGTATCTTTCAAGACGTTATTTCCGGATTAGGCAGACGCCTGAAACACAAGACAAAGCATCACGTAATTATCTTGTGGACAAAGGGACGAGCTATTTTATTGGATGATGTGGAGAAATGAACTTAAATAGGAAAAGATGGTAGGGGTTTGTAGGGTTTTTGGGTTGCGGGGTTAGCTTTCATTTTCAGTATATTCTTGGCAGGTCAGTTAATGCTTGGTTTTGAAAACCGATAACACCATAAAAAGAAACAAATTTTCATGGTCTTGTTCCATTAATGAGCAGATGGCAACGCATGCAGTGCAATAGATAGACGCAAACCAACCCGCTGCAAAAACCCTGCTGTGGATATGGAAGCATCTTATGCAAAAAAACCACACACATATCTCTGTAATATTAATATTATAAGAATAAAAAAATACTATTTCTGATTTTAAATGAGATCGATCAGAAATAATTTATATAAGATGACAAGTGGAGGTCAGGAGATTGAATAGAGAAAGAAGCCAAAAAATAGCACGGAGAAAATCCATGTAGGCGCACTTGAATGAAATGTGATCATGATAATGGTATTTTTGACTATTCTGGAAGGTGTAAAGAGAGCAAGTAGCCAGGGAGGACCCTGATGAAGAGGGGTCGGGTTGGTGTCATTGGCCGTAAAAGGCAGGCCTCTCACATTCACATCAGCATATTTGGCAGTAGGAATACAAGTGCCACATTTTGTGACAATGACTGGAATCTAGGGATATAGCATATAGGCAGGCTCAGAAGTGTTGTTGGGTAATGAGGTGATCTCAATCCAAAAGCAAAAGAAAGATGAAAGTATGATATAAAATTTATAAATGAAAGAGAAAGGAAGGCGAAGACTGTGGTGAATACATAAGGCAGAGAGAGAATCTGGGAGTGATGGTGACAGGACATGGAAGCACAGATATGGACAATACAGGTCAGGCTGAGAGAGAGAAGAGGAAGGTGGTGGGTAGGGGCACAGCTACGTAGATAGTGGATCGATGAACATAAAGGTTACGTTTGGTAGAAAGCATTGAAAATGAGGGATTGGGATTGGGATTACAATTGAAAAAATCTATTACAAGAGTGTTTAATATAAGAGATTATTTGATATATGAGATTAATCAAAGCCATGTATGTGGGATTGGAGAATACCATGGGGGGAAGTGGTATTCCCCAATCCCACCTTTATGGGTATACCTAATCCCATATAACAAACAATTATTCATACTAAGTACTATTTTAATGATTTTTTCAATTGCAATCTCAATCTCAATCCCTCATTTTCAATGCTTCGTACCAAACGGGACCAAAGAGTAGGGTGGAGGGAATCAGGAGATGGATTCGCGAGATACAAACTGAATGAAGTTATGATGCAGAGATAAGAGATGGATCGTAGGGTTTTTGTGGGATGGATGGACCTACAAAGTTTGGTGGCGTGATGGCTTAGATTTTGTTTGGATTTTGTCATCTCACGTGATCCCATTCTCTGCCTTCTCTCATTTATTGCTTTCCTCCTCCCCTCTGTCGCCTTCGCCTTCGCCTTCATCTCTCACTTGCCCATATATTTTCGCATCCTCTTATTATTTGAAAATTGTACATTCCTTGTAATTCCTCTAACTCAACCCATGACATAATACTAATGTCCTACACAGGTCCTGCAACTTTACAGTATTGGGCTAAGTTGGGTCGGAAAAATGAGTCAGATTTTCCTTCAACAAGCCTTCTATTGTGCCACAAATAGATGTCTTGATTTGGAAAAAAAAAAATCCTCTCAAATTATGCTGTCTAAATTAAAAATGATAAAAATCTGATAATTAAGTTCCGCCAATTTCAACTTGCTAATATGCTGTGTGATTTCTTGTCCTCGTGGCTTTCCCCAGAAACATTTCTTCCGGATTTATTTGAACTCTAACGTCATTTGTGTTCAGGCCATTGCAATGACAGTCGAAAATCAAATTTGATTATGAATGAGAATATATACCCCCGTCTCTGTCACGCAGCCGTGTATCGAGTTTCAAACGGATGTATCGACAGTGAGTTAATTAGGTCAACGACCTGAGATCAAATGTTTCATTCGTTTGTGACTACAAATGTCTCGATCAATTTAATGCTAAAATCTTGAACAACTTTTTCCAAATGTTTGAGGTTCAAGACCCATCAAGCCCTCTACGGTCCCCCCCTTTTTGGAAGGGACACACACATCCTCGTAAAATTAATGATATTACGGTTAAATTCGCCGTTGTGCGAATTAAATATACTAATAATCCACAAGATCAGGCAAGGGGGGGACGCGAGTGTGGCGTAAAAATTCAAATTTAAAATGAGATATGTAGTGGGAACTGGGAAGAGAGTAAATAAAAGAAAAGGAGGAAGATGGCATGGCGGCAGCAGCAGCACAATTGGAGCTCATTGAGAAGGTCCATGAAAGTGAACCAACACAGCCAGTCCTTTGCCAAAGGATCGTACCCGCTGATCCCTTTTTCTTTCCAAACAAAACAAATAAAAGCGTTGAACAGTGGCTATAGTGGATATACACTGATCATTTCACCATAATTACCCAAGCAATCACTCCCACCTCCGTGCACGGATGAACCCATATATATATATTCAGTCTCTGTGTTATGGTTCTCTTTATCTCGCATCTGTAATGATGATTTGTGTTCCCCCCCCCCCCCCCCCCGGCGCAAACGCACATAGCATTCATGCATGAAGGTTGAAAACGAAATGATTTGGGGTTTGAAAATTTGTCGACACGCAAAAACATTGGCCATATTTCGGGCCGTCCGGATTGCTCATCATGCAAGATAAAAATATGCCTTTGTGCTGCCGCCCAATGCCCATTCCTATTCCCAACGTATACATGTAAAGTTGAAACTCAACGCTAACAGATCCTTTGACCGGTCATACCAGTTTAGTGGGCCAAATTAATCAAAGCCATGATATGCTAATATAAGCTTTTTATTTGACTTTTATTTTGATCTTAAACATAAGATCTCAATCTATTCTATTTCTCATATTTATATTTTTTTAAGAAAATCTTTTTAATAATAGTAACCAATATACTTGATTGACAATGATATTTTAAGAAAGACAACACATCTTTATTATAACTAACTAACTTAAATTATTATTTTTTAATTTACTTAAATTGACCCAGTTCTTATGTTTAGATCGGATCTAACACTAAATTACTTAATTATAACATGTTACATGATATCTCTAAAATACTCATATAAATAATTAATCAGTTTATAAGTAAGACAAGTCAGTTTAGAAAATAATAAATTTAAATAATTTAATAATTTTTTTATTTTTTTAAATTAGTTTTATATTATTTAGGCTTTAATATTGCTGTACTTTGATTGATCGGATGGTATCCAGCTTTTATCCAAAAAATAATAATGATTAGGGGATATTATAATAACAATAGCAGCAATAAAAAGGGTACGATGACTGTGGGGCAATATGGACTGGGGGAGAAGGAGTGGGGCCCAGTGAAAGTTTGTTTGTCGGGAAGCAGGTGTTGACTACTCACTCGGACGCCACGGAAAAAGCATTCCCCGCTGCCCTCTTTTCAGCTCTCACGCTCCCTCTCGAGCGTCACTTCTCGTTCCCTCTCTTTTTCCATTTCCTCCTTTCTTCCCTAATTTCTTTATCTTAACTAAATTATCCCCTACGTACTTTCCACATAATTTAATTCACTATAATTCAACTTCCCTGATTTAATGAAACTTGAAGTAACAAATACAGGCTACAGTACTGTTTCTGGACATTGTAATATGGATGAAGAGGCTGATAAGAAAGAGAGGGAGACTCTAAAACATGTCCGACAAATCTTCATCGTAACAAGAAGAATGGTTAAATAATATGGGTATTGTCAGCCAAAGGCTTGAGGTAATGAAAGTCACGATTATGACCCCACGACCGCCAGGAACAAACAAAATTCACATCTCCATCACATTTTGATTTTTATGTTTGACAAAATACTACTAACACGTGTCTCCCTCGTCGCATACATATTTTGACATGTCCTGTAGTTGTTCCCGTAATACTTCTTATATTTTATTACTCATCCTGATTATAAAGTCTTATTTATACATATCATATCATGTAAAGACGTTAAATTGTCAAGAAATATCATGAGGTTTTATTCTTGGAAAATTTATATCCACTCGCTGAGCTCGGTTTCCCGACTTCGTGTTAACTTCAATTTATGTTTGCACATTTCAAGACATATATAATTTTCTCCTGTAAAAAAGTTGAGAAAATTATCCACGTTTAGTGTCTGATAGTGTCTTAAATAGGACTATTTTTAATAGGAGAATACTTATATTTACAAAAGAAAAAAGGTAAAAGGTGACATGAATGCATATTACAAAATAAAAAATTTATTTTGCGGCCTTATTATAAAATATAAGTATAATTTTTGGCGAGCTGATTATACTCAATTTTGTCATTTTGAATTTTGTAGCCTTAATATAATTACTTTCAGATTTTTCTTGGATAAACTCCCCGTTTACGATTTTTTTCATTTGAAAAATTGAAAAAGGTTGAAAGAAGATATTCCACACAGACGAGCAACTTAAACCAGCAATGGTAACTGAAACCATCTAATAACCAATAATATCATGTTCTAATAAAGTCACTCATCATCTTAGAATGGTTAATATTTGTTAATTATTAATTATCAGTGATTGATCTAGACAGATGCTTTTTAGTTTTTATTATTTTTATAAATACCTGTCTTTGGCGTGAATGACTCTTAATAATTTAGAACATAAGTGTAAGATTGTAAATGCCATAGCCATCTAGATGCTAATGGCAGAGGAGAGTGGGATCGGGTAGGTGTTCCCCTCCCCCGGATGACCCACAAGAAAACTCTCTCCAGATGGCCGCCGCTGTTTCCCATCTATGGTGCCCGTGAACCCCCACCAAATTATACTTACGAAAATAAGAAAGGAAGAAGAAATATAGGAGGAAGGTGATCAAGAATGTAAAAATTGTCATCAATTTTTACATTCTTGATCACCTTCCTCTTGATATTTCTGACACGGATGGTAATGAAGGAGAGTAAGATTTGTTAGATTGGTTTGCGCTCTTGTTTTGTTACTTGTTTTTCAGTTATCATTTACAAAAAAAAAAAAACCCCAACTCGGCTTTCGTTCCATCGGCCCTTGTTTCCATTTCTTACTGGCAATTAATTGTTTTTTAAATAAAAATGTGAAGGCAAGAAAAATTGCTTTTTCTCATGTTGAAATAAAAGGGAGAAAAAGAGGAAGGCACGAAGAAAAGTGAAACGGAATTTTTAAAAAAATTAGGAATAAGGTACTTAAATAATTTGAAAATATTTACCAAAGGGCAATATGTAAGAGCACCCAGCAGTTCAACACCTAATTTTCTTTTGGTTTTTATATATCTTAAAAGTTTTATTTCGCATTATTTATATTTGAATTGTTTTTTGTCATTAAGTTTAACTATTAAAAATATAATAAAATCATATAATTTAATTGTCAAATATAATAACAAATATTCAAGGTACATGAAAAATTGAAAACTGAAAAAAAAAACTTTTAGATGGGTGATCCGTGATCCTTTATAAATATTTTTAGATATTTGAACACTTTATATAAGAATTGAAAATAGATGAAGCAGTGTGGGCTGCAGAGTGGGGTAGAATGGTTGGGTGTACTGTACGAAGTGACCGCAGTACAGATATATTGGCAGCCCGTCAAACCCTTTCTTAATTTCAAAAGCAAATTAGTTTTTGGCTTCCTCTATTACTCCCTCACTTATCTTTTCCCCTCGCCCATTTCCCTCCTCCACACCTCACCCGATTGGATATTTTCACCCCACTAGATTTACAGTACTCTTTTTATTTTTTTTTCCTGCCTTTTATACATGCTTACGTCCTCAGAAAGCACAGTCATAGAGTGATTTAAACCTGTATTTAAAGCTTTGAGGTCATTCTTCTGCGCTTGTTAGAACCAGCCCTCGTGGACTTGGAGGTGTGTTTTTATTCTGGGTTATGCTGATTCCGGGTTTATGGTAGGGTTTAAGCAATAGTTATAAGTTGGGTGGAAGGCTGGGAGGTGATAAGAGGGCAGACCCTAAATTTTAAAAGAAAAAGCAAAAGAGAGGAAAAGCAAAAGACGTGGTCTTTCTCATATACACAGATCCCTATGGGAATGAAGCGGGTGCGTTGCTTGCTGGGAATTCATTCTTTTTGCTTAGTTTAAAGAGACCAGTTTTGTTGGCTTCGGGGTGGAGAGATCGAGACGCAGATTTTATGTAAGAGGAGTGCTCTCAAGATACAACCAAAGAGAGAGTATGTATGGTTCGTTGAGAAATTTGCTGTAGCCTGTGCCGACCCAACAAAAGCCAAAAGCCCCAGTCGTTCTCTCATCTATACGCAGGAGGCAAAGAGGTTTTCGTTATGATTAGTTTATTTGCTGCCCAATGATTGACTTGCCTTGCTGCGAGAGACACTGCTAACAAAGTTCAAACCTTTGAGGATAAGAAAGAAAAAGGAAAAGACACAGTGAGAGAGAGCGAGGTTTGAAGAAGATGAAGTCTATGAATGATAGCAGGAACAACGACGGGAGTGAGAATAATAATAGTAATCAAAACTGGTTGGGGTTCTCTCTGTCACCCCACATGAAAATGGAGCACTCTCCTGGCCCTCCCCTCCATCATCACGATCACCATCAACCTCAGCCTTCTGCTGCTGCTGTTTCTAGCTCTGTTCCGACAAGCTTTTGTTTGTCGCCTTCTCAGCTCAGCACTTACGGAATATGTTATGGTGCACCGGAGAACGCAGGCTTTCATTCTCCGTTGACCGTCATGCCTCTCAAGTCCGATGGCTCCCTCTGTATAATGGAAGCGCTCACTAGATCACAAACTCAAGGTATCGACACGCTTTGTTATAAAATCTATTTTATATATACCTATTTTCCCCCCTTAAGAATCAAGTCTAGACGGCGCCTACAAAAGTTGTCAACTTTTTGAAGATTAGTTTTATGGCACTTTAATTATAATCTTATGTCGCTATTTTGCAAGTGATGATGCCGAATTCGTCTCCGAAACTGGAGGACTTTCTAGGTGGTGCAACTATGGGGACTCACGATGCAACTTTGAGCCTCGACAGCATCTACTATGGCGCTCAGAATGCACAGACTCAAGCCCACAGAGATCATTCTCTTGACTTTCTTTCGGAGCCTTTCAGACAGCAAGACCCCGTGCCTGCGCAGGCACATCCTTATTATTCTGGAATCGCTTGCCATGCTATTTATCCATCGCCATTGGAGCAACAAAGCAAGGACCCCCATATGCAACCAATGTCCGTGGAAGGCATGGCTTGTCTGAAAAACTGGGTGGTTCCCGGCAGGGAATATTCTGCTCAACAAGGTTTAGAGCAGAAAAAGGATGGACGCATGGAGGATGATGGCGGAGCATCCGGGTCAGTCGGTAAAGTTGGGTGTGGAGATTTACAGTCCCTCGGCTTATCCGTGAGCCCTGGTTCGCAGTCTAGCTGTGTAACTGCTCCACAGCAGATTTCGCCTTCTGCGAGTGACATGGTAGCAATGGAAGCCAAGAAGAGAGGGCCTGGAAAGTTGGGCCAGAAACAACCTGTGCATAGGAAATCGATCGACACTTTTGGCCAGAGAACGTCTCAGTTCCGAGGCGTCACTAGGTTGGTTCATCCCGCAATCTTCTTTGTTAAACCGTCTATTTTGCGTCCCCTTTGGTTAATCTCTTTGTGCTGTTATTTCAACTTAATATCATTTAGTTGAAACCTTCTACTGTCCGGTGGCTCATAGCTAGCTGTGAATCGCTGTGTATCAGGCACCGGTGGACTGGCAGATATGAAGCGCATTTATGGGATAACAGTTGTAAGAAGGAAGGTCAGACGAGGAAAGGAAGACAAGGTTAGTGAGACAATGGAAGTCATGGCCATTACTTTGTGTTTGGATTTTTCAAGTATTATGTATTTCTACTGCAATTGTTTGGTCCACTCGACTCATAACTGTGTCACCAACTCGTGTCTCTCATGTTCACTGATGTGGATGCCGACCGATCTAATGTTGCGTTGTTGCAGTTTATTTGGGTAAGTCCTTTATTGCGAATTCTGAGAATTACAGGGGTCTTGTGATTGTTAGCTGCTAAGTGTTGGATTTTGCTTTTGAAACTTAGGGGGCTATGACATGGAAGAGAAAGCTGCAAGAGCCTACGATCTTGCAGCCCTCAAGTACTGGGGAGCCTCAACCCATATTAACTTTCCGGTATATATTTGCTGTTCAATGCCTTTTTTCTTCATTTTTTTCTGTTAGCGCATTCTTGCTTTGATTCGGGAATTTCATTATTTTCATTTTCTATGGCAGTTGGAAAATTACCAGGTTGAACTAGAAGAAATGAAAAACATGAGCAGGCAAGAATACGTTGCCCACTTGAGAAGGTAGCACTACAGATAATGATGAAGGGGTTTATCAAATTAAGTTGACATAATGTATCATTTATCTTAGGGAGGATTTTGATCAAGCATTTATTTGTTTTGCAGAAAAAGCAGTGGTTTTTCCAGAGGAGCTTCAATGTATAGAGGAGTGACAAGGTTGAATTTGATTCAGCTGCCGCATTTTCTCTTGAACGAGGAAATGTTGACTTGTTAGTGACTCATTCCAGTTTTTGTTATTTTGCAGGCATCATCAACATGGAAGATGGCAAGCAAGGATAGGTAGAGTTGCTGGAAACAAGGATCTTTATCTTGGAACATTCAGTAAGTTCTTCCATATTTTCGATATCATTCACGTTGCTGTTAAATTCATCAAGAATATTGCTGGATTTGAGGCGAAGAATATTTTGTGTTAGGCGCCAGCGTGCTTTAAAGTAGTGACCCTGGACCTATTTCTTATATTGTCATTTCTACTTCAATGCCTCTTTCGGCAGACACTAGTGACTACCGATGCTTTTGACAAGGCTGGCCACATACCCCTCCTTTGAGAGTTGAGATTCACTAGTTACTTTTCTAAGGCTGTTTTTTTCTGATACCATGACAAAGAAATACAAAAAGGGGTATCTCAACCACAACAATGGCCTCACAAAAGTGAAAGCTTTTGAAAATTCTCTTCTTTTTTTCTTTTTTTAAATATCTTTGCTGATTTTTTTCTCCCTCAGGCACTCAGGAGGAAGCAGCTGAAGCATATGACATAGCTGCAATCAAGTTCCGTGGTGTGAACGCAGTGACGAACTTCGACATATCTAGGTACGATGTGGACAGGATCATGGCCAGCAATACACTTCTGGCTGGTGAGCTGGCTCGACGAAATAAAGATAGCGAACCAAGAATAGAAGCCCTAGAGTACAATAACCATAGCAATGGGGAAGCGGTTCTAGCCCAGAGGAACAAGAACGACACCGGTTCAGATTGGAAGATGTTGTATCCTCCAAATAGCTGTGATCAGAAAACCGGGAACTGCGGAAATTACAGGAATTCAGCCATATCTGCGTCCCTACAGGATCTCATTGGGATTGACTCTGCGAGCTCAGGTCAGGCCATGCTGGAGGACACTACAAAGATAGGCACTCATTTTTCAAACCCATCCTCGCTGGTCACGAGCCTAAGCAGCTCAAGAGAGGGAAGTCCGGATAAAGCTGGCCCCACCATTCTGTTTCCAAAGCCTCCTCCAATAGCTTCAAAGATTGTTAGCCCCATAGGTAGTGGAGTTAGTTCGTGGTTCCCTTCGGCAGCATCTCAGACGTTGAGGCCAGCGTCTGCTCTTTCAATGTCTCACTTGCCAGTATTTGCTGCTTGGAACGATAGTTGAATTTTGCATGATGATGCAACAAGGCAAGAAAAAACATTGATAGCGGAAAAAGGTGAATGAATGTTTGTTCTTCAAAGTCGTTAGTGGAGGAATTTGGGGGATTAACGACAGATGGGGTAGGGACCATTTATCTGTCATCTGTCTGTAACCAAAGTGTAAAAGCCTTCTTTTTTTTGGGAAAAAAATATTGGAATGGGGGATAATATGCAGATTTGTGGGGGGGGAAAGGTGTCATTAATTTAGGAAGGCGGGCTAATGATTAACTTCTGTGAAATGATGTTAGCAATATAGAAGTGTAGCCCTTGCATTATTGATCTTGCTTTTTTGAAGTTGCTGTTCTACTAGTTCCAGCTAAGTACAAGAACCAGCTCAATATGTTTCCCCAATAATGCAAAAAGGCTCCTGCATTGACCACGCCACATCGTTTTGTTGCCAATACTTGTTCCTCTATCTGCATAACGCAATCATTGCTTTAACCTTTCTCATAAGGCAGCGAAGGCTCCATTCCTTCATTATTTTGAAAAGCGAGTGCTTGCGGAGATTCTTGCATGAAAGGTTCTGGTTGGTTTAATTGTCATAATTAGTAGGGGACACCACTAAAATTTTATTTTATGCAAAAGCTGTTGTGCGGGTGAAAATTTGCCGTCTTTTTTAATTCATAAACTCCACTTTGCCGTATTCCAAGCAGATATTGGGGGGGTCATAAAGTGAATCCATGTCCTGGTGCGAATGCTTTAGAGGTTAGAGCATTGAGACAACTACAGTAACATCCTGTATGGGCCGATATCCCACGTGTGTGCCGCTCGTGTTGTCCAAAACTTTAATTATATCGACCATTATAATTACATAGGACGACAACGAGGAATTAATGCCGGAAAAGCTGGGAATAGTTCCTGAGTTGAAGTTGGGAATAGCTGTTTCTTTGCACCATGCCTCTTTTTTGCAACTTTGCGCCATGTAATCTCAATTATTTTACTACAACGTCGTGGTTCTGTAGCAGAAGACGAAAACGACAGGGTCTTCAGAGTGATCATACATGAGGCTGAGGCATCCAGCTGCCACCTCTTCGTTTTTTTCCTTGTTAAAAATTATTGTCTCAACCAATTGTTAGGTGATTTTAAAATGCTGTTACAACTAAGCGCAACGGGGGATTAGGTATAAATGCTGTGAATAGTACACAATCCACTTACGGAAGAAAGTGAGTTCAATAATGGTGGCAGATTTGAGTGCATGAGGGCAACAGTGAGGTCAGTAATTAAATGTCCTTTATTGTCTTGAATGAAAGTAACTAGTTTATACTGTTTTGTTGGGTACACCAGTTCACATACTGTTTTACGTGTATCAGATTAGTAGTTGTACTTAAGGCATATACTTTGGCCTCCCATTTAAGAAAATCCATGTGAGATGGACAAAAAAAGTATGGTGTCTTTGAATTTACGCCTTGGATAATGAAATTCTAAGTTCAGCGTGAAAAAAAGAACCAAGCACTCTTTGGCCACCGCAAGGAAAAAGAACACGTTTGTATTATTTCCTTTTCAAGAAGCATATATCCTATGATATCTAAAGTGAAAAATAAAAATCCCTCCAATTATGAGATTTTTCGGTTGATTTGTTGCGTAGAAAACTAGCATGGTCTTCGATGAATTCAAAACGGTGCTTATTTTTTGGACAAGGAAAAAAGCAGGCATATCAAAAGGTGGAACACAGCAAGAAGCAGATTGCATGAAAAACAAAAGGCTAGGCTATAATAAGATGGATGGTCAAAAAAGCTAGCCAATTCTCGTAGAAAAGAAGACAAAGTAAAAGAGATATCCCCATATGAACAGAGAGGGAGGATAAAAGTAAGATCCGCTTCTATGGTTTTTCATTCCATCTCTGGAGATTAGTCAACAGATATGATTACAGACCCTTTTATTGTGGACAGCTTAAGCAAACTAACCCCAGCACAAACAAACGGTGGCATATGGGAGTGGACAGGATGAAAAGGCAGGTTTGCGCATGAGCTGGATCATCGCACAAGTTCTATCATAAGTTGAAAACTTGGCCAAGAAAACTTCAGAATTACGTACGTACATGCTTAGCGCATTGAAGACATTGAAAGGACCCCACGTTAGGATAACAAATTAAAGACCGGGCATGTGGTGGTTGAGTTCAAAGTGAATATAATTAAAGTTGAACATATTCGCATCTCTCAAGTGTTGAGAAATTTTGGACTTTGTTATCAAGAAAATGACAAGGTGCGTGGGGGCACGCTGGTCAAATCAAAACCAACGTCCCATAGGCCACGGATAAAATCGTAGTGTCAAAAAAAGACTCTGCATGATTGAAGATAAAGCACGGCTCTGTAACAAATGGGAAAGAAGGGCCGTCTCAAATGGGCATGGTTTTGGGATTTCATTAGGGGACGGGGCAAATATAATGGGGTGGTTTTGAAGGCCCACAGTGGAATGAAAGTAGACAGATAACTACAATATAGCCCGAGTTTCTAAGTTGATGTGTTGAAAGAAGGGAAGGTCCCCACGAAGGACGGAAACAGAGATGGTCCCAGAAAGATAAGAGACGGGAGAGAACCTTATTTATACGTGATGAATTGCAAGTTGCTTAAAAACTTATAAGAGAATGCTCCAAGTTGATCAGATGTCGTGTACTGGAATAATAGGAGGAGGAGGTAAGGAGGGGACCAAAGAAACCTTGTAAATGCGTAGAGCTGTAATTGAAAGGGAAAGAATAAGGTGTGAATATATGTCCCCTACAGGAGAACCATGTTTCGTCCAAGGAGACTTGTTCCAAACGCAATTAATCACTTTACTGCCTCATTTTTTTCCCTGTGAATTTGGTCCCCGCGTTCTCAGGTTTCGCAGGTGGATTTGGATGCCAACATAAATATGGAGCACATGGCTGTCCAGTGTCCAGACTATTTTGTATATAATACTGGGTTGTTACAACATGATGAGTTTTCAGGTAAAAAAAAACAACATGATGGGTTCTAAGTCGTAAGCTGTGTTATAAAAATCAAGTGGCAGAGAGGGATGGCATAAAGGGGCCGGATAAGGAAGAAGGACAGAGCAGGAGGGGGCCCCTGAGTCAGAGGGGCATGCCTTCCGGTATCTGACATGAAATGTCCGTTGTGTCCTTAATTTGGCCATCACCCTCCTGCCTGTTTCGCTGGGACTTAAATTGTTCCGTGTCTCATATTTGTGGTCTCTCTGTCATTTCTCCAGCACCAGCCAGCATGCTCTACCGTGAAAGCCCCTTCTGAATATAGCAGTTCTAGTACCATGGTACAACCATACACTGCATGGCATATATAATGAATACAGGCGAAATTTAATTTCCCCTCTTAGCTCCTCCATTTTATCAAACCCAAAAAAAAAAAAAATGATACTTTACCATGAAGCGTTGAATTGAAATTAATACAGTACATAACAAAATCATGATTTTTTTTTTAATCGTAGAATAAAACATACCAGGGTCATTGAAAATTAGGGTAGGGGTGATTCTAAAACGGTGTTTGGAACCTATATAAATGTTTTTAAAAAATACTTTTCTGTAAAATGAGATAAATTCATCCGTATATTTATTTTATATATTATAAAAATATTTTTAAAATTATAATTTAATTTCTATCTAAACATTCTTTAAAAAATAATGAAAATAATTGAAAGATGAAGAAGCGGTGAATGGCGGGAAGGAGGTGGGGAGGTGTCAACGTCGCGTATCTAAGTGAGAATCTTAAGGAGGTGACAGAAGTGGCTCGTGATAGAGCAGAGAGGGGGCTGCTCCGATCCACGTGGCACTTAACGCCGTCTTTCTTCTGTCTCCGCTGTAACCCCTCTCCCTTTCCCCATTTCAAATTCCATTACTTTTCTGTCTGCGGGCCCCCCCTCCATTTATTTCTGTCACATCCCCCATTTCAATTTCTCTCTCTCTCTCGCATCCGTAAATTTTTCTATTCACCAAAGAAATATTTTTTTTATTAACAAGACATTTATGTTGATTTTTGTCCTCAATTTTTGGGTGGACATCGGTGATTTCAGGGGGAGATGCTCACAAGAACGGATTATGCGTGTGACTTAACATTGATAGCTACATTCAAGCTAATGTTATTCTTGGCTAGGGATCATATAATAATTAAATAAAATAAATTTTAAATGTAAATGCTCAGCCTTTTTTATTTTTAATAAAATTGAGTGGTTTTCTTAATATGTATGTATGTATCTATTCAGTTAAAGCCACCTAAGACAAGTTTGGGTGACAAAAACGAAATTAGGTTAAAATCAAAGTTAAAAGTTTGAATTTTATATGATCAAATTGAAGTAGTCAGACTATATATATATATATATAGTCCAGCGTGCAAATTAAAAAAATTAATTCGAAATATAAGTTGGGTAATGGAGTTGATATTTTTCATGTGGAAATTGTCCAAGATTTAGGGCCTATTCGGCCAACCTTTAAAACCATGATTTTAGAACCCAAACCATAATTTGGGTTCCAAACTTGCCAAACAGAAAAAGAAATTGACAAACCATAGTTTTGAACCAAAACCATAATTTCAGAAGAAGTGAATTTATTCTACTTCTGGTTCAAATTGAAGAGTACGATTGTGCCTGTCAGAGTAAATCCAAATGGTAATATGATTTTAACACCCATCAATTATTTTTTTATAAATATATATACACATATTAATTATTTATTAATAACATTATCTTATATATTATTAATTATGTTGGAAAAAATATATTATTAAAAAATTTATTTCTCCAAATTAAAATATAGTATAAAATCTATTTTTTATATAATTATCATATTAACTTGTGCTTTTTTTAGTAATTTGCGCATATAAAAAGTGTTTCTGGTAACAACTATCCCAACACTTTCACTTTATCAGAATCACTTTTTCATAAAATCTATTATCTGTAAGCTATTCTCTAAACTATGGTTTGATTTCATCCAAACACTTCTTTAGTCATTTAGGTGACATTTGTAGGGCTGGGCCTCAGATTATAATTTCGCTTACTTAGTGGGCTGAAATTCCCTTATTGATGGGCCTTTATCTGTAATACTGTTTGACTTCTCACCACTATGGGCTTTGCACCTTTCACTCTGGAAGCCGCCCCGAACTCCTCTTCCTACATCTCAGTCTTGCAAAAGCCAGAAAAAGAAATCGTCCATGTCCCATTTCGGGATCACTGATAAGAAAATAAATTAAGGAATAACTCCAATGATATTAATAAACTAATTAAAGAGAGCCAGGCAAGTTGATCTTGTCAGAAAACATGTGAACCTATCAAATACAGAGCCAATTAAATAGCTACAACATAACATATTTTCATCATCATCTTGGCAAGAGACCAAGCAATGACAAAACCATTCACGGTTTATAAATAGCATCACACGATTTACAATGATTTTTTGAGCAATAATTATTATATTTTACATTAAAAATTGGAATTGATATTGATATTATCCACGCTATGGCTGTTAGGGATGGTTGGAATGGGATCCGGCGATAAAGAATAAAATGGACAAAAATGATAATGATTATATAGATTTTTCAAAAGAGGAGGACAATGAAGTAATAGAAGCGTCTGAACAAGGATTGATACGTGCACAATATTACTACCTCTGATATTAAGACTTAGTTGACTAATTAAAGAATTAAGATAGTTACAAATTACTTTAAATTATTTATATTCATGATATTAAGACCTAGTTGATTAATTTAGAGAAATCATGTAACATGTGCTATAATTAAGTAATTTAATAGTTTTTTTAATCTTTCGAAATCAGTGAACTCCTTTTTATACTCAAAATTTTCAACGAATGATGATTTCGGCCGAAGAGCCTATTCCCATGACTAATGTCAATCAAGCGTGGTTATACCGGAATAAAATCATAGAAGATATGTCCATGTTGAAATATGTTATTGCTCAGAGAAAGACAATTCCTAGGAATTCTAAGGAATTTATACGCTAACTGATATACCACATAACCTTGTTCTCCAAACTCTCATTTTACGTTTTACTGTTTTTTGAATCAATGGCCTTTAAAATTAGAGGAACCATTGGTGCTCTGCTCTTTTTTTGACCAGCCATTTATGCTCTGCTCAGAGTACCAGGCATCAGCAGCGAAGATATACATATTCAATTTCAGAATCTCAAAATTTTACATGATTCGCGGTGCCTAAAAGTCACGTCCAATAAACATTCTGAGGGAGGCTCTCTTTTTTTTTTTTTTGGTACGAGCTTTTGTTGAGTACACGATATGGACATTGACCAAAAGTGCCCATTAATTTGGGCCATCAAATGGAATGCATTTCTTTGCGGAGAAGTGAGAATAGCCATTCTAGTTGTGAATCTCATCGTGGCAGGTTTTTCATCAGTTTTTTCGTTGAACTGAACATTTCCAAACCAAATGATGGAACTTAAAGCGGGTGATGTAAATCCATAGATTGGTCGGTAGGAATCCATCCATTTTCAAACTTGCTTTTGGAATCTAATACGCTATTCTGATCAGCTCATCCTGTGGCAAGATATTAATTTGTGGTTTCTATGAGACCATCTAAACAGTTCAAGATTGCCCACTATCATTACCATCAACAAAAGCGAAGGAAACATCTTTAATTATGTGCCTTTAATCCAACTCAAGTAAATCGTTATCATCATCATCATTATGCATAATAACCCATCAGGCTCTGTGAAAGAGTTATTTACGATATCATTTTGATGTTCCCAAAGCACGTGATCATAAACAACCATAATTCTCTTATATTTGCATATTACGCCACTGTTCCCACTCTGCATCATTCTGCAGCTTCTCTCCATCCTTTTTAATAAATCTTGAGGTCAGCAAATAGGTCCGTTCTGAGATGGAGCCCCGGCTGAAGCTGGCCACTCTCGTTTTCGCAATTTTTTTTTTTTTCCTTTCTTAATATCTTGACCAGATTATGTGAGAACGAAACCATCGGCCTGCTGGGTCAGAATGCCAGTCCTGTTCCTGAAATATCTCATCATAGGAATTGAATAAACAAATGAAACTGTACCAAAATATATATATAAACAAAACATATCTGCCATTGAGAAGCGGAGAAACTTCTTTTAGTGGAAACATCAATGTCTTCAAATGATTGCCCTTTTGTGAGCCGTCATGGGTTTGGTGAGCTGCATCAGAAAGGAAGCATCACAAGGTGTAGAGCCCTCCTTAATATTATAGAGCAGCCTTTTCAGTTTCAATTTTAAAGGAACCTCATTATTATCATTACTTCCCCTTCTTCCCATCCTCTGCGCATGCTCTCCCATTATTTCCTTTACGACTCCTCTCTCAAAAAGCTCAACTCTGCGGTTTCCCTTAATTCACCTTTAGGCGGGTGTGGTGTGCTCTCCTCAGATTCTAATCTCCCCTGATAATTATTATTAGCAATATAATAAACAATTATGCTGCGAGTGATTGTTGGGTTTTTATATGTACGAGAAGTCATTTGTCTACCTGGAAAAAGTAAAGAGTCGGCAACTTTATATAAAGAAAAGAAGAGAAAAGGCTTTCTTTAAAAGTGGAGAAGTTAACTTGCTAAAGCAAAGATCCTCTCTTTCATATTCATTATGTTGAGGAGGGAGGCTGATCACATATAATGAAGGGGTGAGATACAATCCATTGCGATACAAAGAAGAGGAACACATCAGGAGAGATTCTTGTGTTAGGACATAAAACCATCATTGCTAAATGGGGAGGACCACCAAGTAGGGTTAGTTATATACAGGCTAAGGTGAAACGCGAGGCCCTTCACTCGCACGCGTGATCGCAGCTTATCTTCTTGACGCTTCTTTAAGCATTAACTTAATCTTAATTCTGACATGAACAAGTGAGTTACATTGGTGTCATCTGTTTGGCCTATTTTGCCTCACTTATTAGCTCACCCTTGTGGTTGGGTCGATGTCCCTTTCGCCCACTGAATTAATATTTTTTAGGTCATGGGACGACAACCTCGAACATTTGTGATTGCATCATAAAACGCTGCTAATTAGAGGCCCACCCCTATTTGTCAAATATTACTCCTGCTGCAACGCTAGCTGCATAACATTTTGTTTTGGGGTTTTCCTGTTACTGTTCTTTTCCCTCTTTTAAAATCTACATTCATATATTTATTTCCCTCTCATTTTCCTCTTCTGTTTGTTAAGTCAGAATCAGCGAATCGGAAAGTTGCTTTGACTTCGCAGAGATTTGGTTTCCCCTGTCAAATCTGCTGTTTTCCACGGCGATGAAGAATACTATTAGCTTGAAATGAAAGTGTGAAGCACAGCGAGACAGTAAAAGAAATAAAAATAAAAATTAAGAATCTTTGCTAATTATTCACACTTTCATGTATCCATCGTCTGCATATTCACAAGATCAACGACAAAATAATTTTTCAAGTCGGGCCTTTCTATTTTTATTATTTTGCATTACAAATTTACAATGTCAAGCATGTCGCTGTCGCCTTGTGTAGACATTAATTACAAGCATTGACTAGTCAGGAGCTACCCATTTAGGCCACCATGAGAGAAAATGTTTATGAACTGCGTCCACGTTTCAACTTGAACCTGTTTCCCTGTTTACACAAGATGTAGTCAGTTAAAAAAACAAAAAATTGATATTAATACGAGTCTCATGCAAATAAACAAAGTTTACTGCTTATTTATTTCTCTTGTATCTTGCACCTATTATACAGGACTACGAGGCCTCTATTTCATGAAGCACGTAGATAGGTAAGAGAGGCAATTTATTTTTTTTAAAGGTTTTAAAGAATTTTTTAAGTCAGGGCTCTGCGTGCACTGTTACTAAGTTTACAGGTTTTAGTTTTACCGTTTTAGGTTTTCCTTCAAAGTTCAAACTTGTTATAATTAAGAAATATTTTTTCTTCCCTATTGTCATGAGTTTTTCTTCTTGTCTATACGTTATTTTTGTTGTTAACTATATCGTTTTTCTGGGTTAGTATCTGCGCCCACGATATCCAAATTTCAGAAGGAAAAAGTTTTTGAATACCAGATTGAAATTATTTTGTAGAAACTAGGGAGCGGATAAATATATTTACTTTTCCAGGGAGACCGAACCTCTTGTATTTCATGTGGATCCATCATTAAGCTGAAACTACCACCAGTGTCCCAGGGTGCTTAAAAAAAAAAAAGAAGGTCGATTTGATTCGTTTGATGAGCATTTAATCATAAGCTTTATAGATAGGTGACTCAAAATGGTGTCGTATTACTGGAGTAGATCATGATGAAGGAGAAAATGAGGCGTTAATGTCGGATTTTTGGTATTTTGAGGGGCTTCCAGCAAGATCACAACCAGGCTACCATGTTGACCGGATAATTTAGTTTGACCGTATTGTCTGGCTCTCCCCTTTCCTACAGCTGGAAAAACGTACCCAGACAAGAACGTAAATTTCATCATTAGATTCCATTATTCCTTATGTTCCTCTCCCTCCTCCTTCCTTCCTTAATTTATACCAAAACCCTTTCCTCCTACGCTCTCAGTCTATCATTACATTACTTTACTCTTCAACATATCCATTTTGTATTTTGTTAAAGTAGACTTCACGGATCCTGCTACCCTGCACCCGCACCGCACTGTAAGTCCTTTGCTTGCCTCAACCACGGCCTTACACTTGTCCCGTGGGTTCCATCCAGACGAATCACTCAGGTGGGGTCGGGTTGATGAGCCGTGGAGAGAGAGGTTGATCTTCGATGTAGGATGATGGGGTTAGGTGCGAGATCCGTGGGGGTCCTAAAAAGAAATGAAAGAGTGAGTGTGCAACAGCCAAGAGAGAGAGGTCTGTTACAACAGTTGGCATATGTGTCAGTACAAAGATTTTAAAATAAAATAAAAGAAGTATGCCAATGAATACAGGGGAGCAAGCTTGGCCTTCAAGAGAAGAACCTCTTGAACCCAATCTACGTTTTTGAGAAGAAAGAGGAAGGGGGACGGAAAAAAAAAAAAAGGCGCACGCACGCACACGCTCTCAGAAAAAGAGAAAGGCGTAATTATTAATTAAACCAATTTACATGGAGTAAAGCTTACAGGAAAAAAGAGATTAGGTCCTGCAATAATTCACCAACAGGAGCAGTTGGCAGTAGTTAGTGTGTCTTTCTTTTTAAAATCATACGGGTCACTTCTCTTAGCCTGGGAAGGTAAGGGAAGAAGCAAAGACTCAGTTTCTCCGTTTCCTCTTTCTAGCTTAGTAGCTCCTGGTCTTGTCTGCAATCTATAAAAGTTCGATTTTTATGCTCCCTCAGATGTTTATGCTATTACCCATTTGGTGAAATTGGGATTTTTCTTGTCGAAATTAATCGAGCATTCGATGCCCCTGGTGATACGATCAGACACACCAGTATAGTATGCTATAGGGCCTGTGTTGAACCCTGCCCCATTCACTAGTCACAGCATTGATTTGATTAGGATTTGATGCCTCCGGTCCTTGCTGCTCCTCTTAGATTCCCATCCCACTATTTATATTAGAGTTTCCGCAGCTTCTCTTTCCTCTCCTGTCTTTAAATCAAAACCAAAGATACTGCTGTTTCTTCGTTCGGATTTCCATTGACAAAGAATCTCCTACTGGGTCGAAAAGACTCAAGATTGCTCACATCAATCACACTGGTGTTTGAAGGAATGGAGAAATGGAAATCATAGTTGTTTAGCGGGCAAAGGAGAAAAGGGAATCTGCTTTATTGGGAGTTTGATGAGCTGTTAGCTAATCCCATTGTTTGTCTACGTCCGCTTTATGCTCTGAAAGGTTCACTTTCCTGTGTGAGGGGGAGCATTTTCCCCTTTTCTGAGCATTATAGTTGTTTTGATCCTAGGGTTCCTGAAGCAAGAGAGGTAACTAGCTGGTGACGACTACATTATATTCTTTTTACTTTGCGTATATGCTACATTGAGAGTGAGGTTGTTTCTTTTACTTTAACTTCCTCTCAGTCCTATAAAGCTGCCAACCCTGTTTTGTTCTTTGTTGAGTGCTGCAAGATATCTCCTCCGAGCTTAGTCAAAATTCGCCTTACCCTTTAAATCATGATTTTGTTTACTTCTTCACGGTTATTTCTATCTGCTGCTCGTTGAGTCAGGATTCAGCTATTGTATTGATCATTAGTTAAAGAGTTCTAGGAGTTTAGCAGTTTAATCCAGGAGATGGGTGGTCATGAAAATGCCATGGGGTTTCAACATGGACGAGAGACAATCCTGAATTGCCCGTCATCAGGTTTGAGCACCAGTGTCTCTGAAATCGCAGTTAGCTCTGTGTCTATGCCCAAGCCTCCTGTTGTGACTAATCCTTTTCTTGGGTCTTCTTCCACCTGGGATCCTCTTGTTTCCCTGAGTCAGACTCAAACTTTTGGAGGCTCTTCCATGGTTTCTCACAGTGAGTTTGGCAGTTCATCTTACCCTCTTGTGTTGGAAAATCAGGGAATGAATAGCACCTCTCACCTTGTTCAATATATGTCCGACTCTAATTTCGCTGTTCCTTCCTATGCAAGTGGAAGCTTCTCCGAAATGGTTGGCTCTTTTCCCCAACATGGGTGTTCTGATTTAGCTAATACAAGGTATGGCCCAAGTTATAACCAAAACGAGGAGGCAGCCATGAAAAGGGCTCCATTAAATGGTTCACAATCTCAGCTTGAGGATCCAGCTCCTGACGAAGGAGCCACAGGATCTGCACCTAATGGAAGTAGAAGAAAACGAGGGCTTGATCACAACCCTACGTTCAGTCCAAACAAGGTAGATCAAGCATTCTACTCAGTCTCAGTAAGGACATAGAAATTGTTATTACTCGTTACTCTTTTCATGTGGTTGAATTTATGAATGAACGACTTTATGACCTCTTAATAGAATGTTGAAGGGGAACCAATGATGGATTCTTCTGGGAAGAGCTCCGATGGGGCAAAAGAACAAGATGAGAAGAAACAAAAGGTTGAGCAAAACAATACTAGTGCAGATTTGCGTGGTAAGCAATCATCAAAGCAAGCTAAAGACAACTCTCAAAGTGGAGAAGCTCCCAAAGAAAATTTCATTCATGTGAGGGCTCGAAGAGGTCAGGCTACGAACAGTCATAGCCTTGCAGAAAGGGTACCTTCTTATTGACTCCTGTAAGAATTCCCACTTCATCTTATAAAGGTCCTGAAGTCTGATAACTTTTTGTTTGCAGGTAAGAAGAGAGAAGATTAGTGAGCGAATGAGGCTGCTTCAAGAACTTGTTCCAGGATGCAACAAGGTTTAATAAACAGATTGCCCTGGTTTGTAATTTTCTTACGGATTATTTTTGATATCGGATATTAAGTTTCTGTTGTCAATGGCTTGGTTTAGATAACTGGGAAAGCAGTGATGCTGGATGAGATTATTAACTATGTGCAATCGCTGCAGCAACAGGTTGAGGTATGCTCTTATGCCATGAAAACTATTGTGATGCATTTGGTTATACAATCCTAGAATCCAGGAACACTTATTTAAGCAAGTATTCGATAATTTAAGCCATTTTCTTCCAACTTAACTTAGCCCAAAATATAAGTCCAGTTTCATAAATATCTAAAGCAAAAGCATTTAATATTTATTTCTCTATTTAGGCTTTCTGTGCAATTAAATTTTATAAGTAATTAATTTATGATAACTAATGTAGTGTTGGCTTTTCCCAATAGCATATTTGAAAAGCTTTACAAAATTCTTACATGTTTAATTCTACAACTATCTTTTTACTAATATTTTTGGTCCAAGTGAGGTAGTTAAACCAGACTTATGTTGGAGACCAAAGGATTATTTTGTTTGTGCAAGCAATAAAGTTGATATGATGTCCACTCTGCACATGCCTCATTTTCTGTTAATAAGAATCGTTTAATCATCTTCCAAAATAATACAAAAGGACCAAGTTAGAGTATTTAATTGCACATGAGTGTTGTCGATAATCTATTAATTAATTCACTGCATATCCTTGAGGACAACTGCATTAAGAAGATCCTGTGCTACTGAACTAATCAATTCAATGTTTTACAGTTTCTCTCTATGAAACTTGCCACCGTGAACCCAGAACTGAATTTTGATGTAGACCGGATCCTATCCAAAGATGTAAGTGACAACGATCACAATTTAATTTTTTAATCTGATTCACTCTTTTAGTGCACGCAATTAACCTCTGAGTTAATCTGCTTTGCATAGATTCTTCAGTCGCGCATCGCAAATGGGACTATTGGTGGATATGGTATGAACTCCTCTCACTCGTTCCCTGGTGGAAGTTTTCAGGGAACCCTTCCAGGACCAGGCATACCCAACACATCATCACCATTCCCTCCTTTGCCTCAGGTAAACATCACGGTACTAAGGCATATTAACTCTGAACTATCTTGGGTGTGAAAATGGTGATTTTTATTGATGCAGAGTGTTTTGGAGCATGAGTTCCAAAACTTGTATGGAATGGGATACGATTCTAATACACCTCTTGACAACGCAGGACCCAGTGGTAATGCTCAGAAATCTTGTTTACGATTTCCCAATATGCTTGAGCAGTTCAAGTTCTTGTGCTCTCTTATGAATAACGGACTGCTATTATGTTGAACAGGGAGGTTGAAAACAGAGTTGTAATGGGTGCAAGGTATTTTGGATTTCATTAGATGGGCTTTGCTTCTTCCCACAGGGGACTTCGAATTTGCGAGCAGAATGCACAATTTAACTGAAGCTAAGAAAAGGTGGGGAAATAGAGAGGGAAAAGAGGAATAAGGGTGGAGTTGTATAGGATCTTTAATACCTAACTGTTGGCTCTTCGAATTTTTAGCAGAAGATGACTTGTTTAGATTCGTGCATTATTATGTATATTGAGGAAAGGAAGAAGACAGGCTCTGGTTGGTGAAGGTGATTAATGATTGTTTTCAGCTGGTGAGTTGCAAATTAGAGAAACGTGTGAAACTTCTTTTTTTGTTTTTTTTGTAAGGGCTGCTTGCCTTCATTGTTTTGTTCTCTGGAAGGAAAAGATACTAATTGTAATGAATTAAGAGCTTGCATAGGATTTGCAACACATAAATGGCAAGATATTGTCTCCGCTTTCCAGTGAGCGGCAATGGCACGGACTAAATTCATGAAATTTCAACTGACACCACAATTGGTATTCCAAGCTTAGCACTTGAGAAACGAACTAATTTATTTTCAATTTTAACGTCACTGCCAACTTCCTAGCCTAGCACTCCATAGTCCATCCTCATCGCTCATCCTCTGGCATTCCATGTTACTTTTGGTCTTAACCCCCTTCCTTTTACGTAATATTTTGTATGTGAATGAAATGAAGGACAAAAATGTGAATGGATTTCGGTAAAAGAAAATAAATAAATAAAACAAGTAGGGCGCCCTTTGGAAAAGTCATATAACGGACATTTTTGAAAACTTTACTAGACTGTGGATTTAAAAATAGATCTATGATGAATTGATGAATAGCCATGAAATAAACTCATTTTAAAGAGGAATAAATTATTAACTGGAACACAAAAAAGAAAGGAATAAATAGTGAAACTGCCACCCAAATCCTTTATATTTGTATCAGAAATAGCCTTTTTTTTTTTTTTACTAAAATATAGGTATCCTCTTATTGAGACAATCCTATTCGAGATACTGTCAAACACTAAATGTGTATACTTCTGCCAGCTGGGATTTGAACATTGATTCACCATATTATGAGGGACTAGCTTTTTTTTTACTAGACCCAACCCTTACCAGTTGGTTGGTGGAAATAGCCCTGTTATACAAATGGAAATGGAAAGGAAGGATCAGTGCGGTTATCTACGAAATATTAACAACCCAAATAGAAGCAGGCCTAGATTTCATATAATGGACTATAAAGTTGGGCTTAATCATCAACTCCTGACCCGATCAGGCCCATTCACAAACAGTTTTTTGTTTTCAAATTTCAAAAAGGGACTAGTCTCTCACAGCTGTAATATTCAAATTTCTGTTAAAAAATTTGCTTACATTTAGTATCTGATAGTATCTTAAATATGATTGTTTTTAATATAAAAAAATACCTGTAAAAAAAAAATTCAAATTCATGAACGTAATGCAGTGTTTGGCCTAATAAAAAGGAGGAGAGGGAAAGGGACGATCCCCCGGTACCATCTAACCAAACAGAACATGCGTAGAATATTTGATAAGGTCCGGGGACAAGGTCCTCATTGAAATATATAAAAAGGGAAAACATACTCTTATTCTTGCATATAAATCACTAAAATCTGATTGGAATTATTTAGATAATATTAAATTTGAGTTGCCCTTTTTATTTTTTATTTTTTAAAATGTAGAATGAAAAGGCGAAAAAAAAATATTGTAACCATCAGATATGATGGGGAAAACTGAAAAAAAAATTTAAATCAAATACAAACTATTAAAGGCGGAAGGCAACGTGAAAAAAAGATAAAAGACAAAATAATCCAAGAGACGTGTGGTTGGCATTTCATAATTTTTTCACATGTATATAAAAAGGCGGAAAACCTGTGTGACGGAGGATAATTTTTTTAATCAACAATTTTAAGAAAATAAACTATATCGGGCCCTTTGTCATGCCTTTGTTGTGAATGGTTTACCTGATGGAAACCTCCTTTGTTTGGGACGAGAAGAAATGGAAAATATCGAGATTGATAACATGCTAAACTTGCACGACTAACTCACTGTTTAAAATTCTCTCACTTATTATTTGCATAAATACTTTAAAAATATCCCATTTTCTATTATTAATATAAAAACTAGTTTAGAGTTAAATTTGGTTCTAAATATAATATCCCAATTCATTTTGTGCCTCATATTTTCTCAAAATATCCTTATTGATTGTAAAAGATTCTTACCAAGGCATAATTATTGAAGAGAATAATTTAAGAAGATCAACACACATTTGTGAAAAATAAAAAACTTAGCTAATTTTCTTAATATCTCCAAATTAGTTATGTAATTGTTATACTATATCCGATTCTTAATATAAAAGCTAGTTTAACTTTCAATTAGACCATAAATATAAGATCACAATCTATTTTGTTTTTCATATTTATCTATTTTTTAAAAATAATCCTTGTTGTAGTTACATATGTTGGAGTTCAATCAAATGGCAATCTTAGCTAATACTACTTCCGGTCCTTAATATAAGACCCTGTTTGACTTTTATTTTGGTCCTAAATATAAGACCCCAGTCCACTTTGTCTCTCATATTTATACATTTTTTTCTCTAAAGTAACCCTTCTAACAATGATAGTTCTAGTCAATACACTTGATTAACAAGAATATTTTAGAAAAGACAACACCTATCTAGAACAAATAACTAACTTAATTTACTTCCTTAATCTCTTCAAATTAGTCAATTGTCTCTTATAATTAGGATCGGAGGTAGTACATAATTACCAAGTGAATTTTAGGGAAAACAATATTTAATTATTACAAATAACTAACTCAACAAACTTTCTTAATCTATTCAAATAAGTCAACTAGCTCTTATATATTAAAGGGTACTACCTCCGCTCCTAATTATAAGAACTTGTTGACTAATTTGAGGAGATTAAGGAAATAAGTTAAGTTAGTTATTTATAATAAATAAGTGTTGTTTTTTCTAAAATATCCTTGCTAATCAAGTGTATTAGCTAGAACTGTCATTATTAGAAGGATTATTTTGAAAAAAATACATAAATATGATAGATAAAATAGATTGGGGTCTTATTATTAGAATCAAAATAAAAATCAAACGAAATCTTATATTAAGAATCAGAGGTAGTAGTATATAACGAAGACACACATACAACTAGCAACTCGTAAGAGTGACAAGCGAGTTGCTGAGCCGGAAACTCCCATGTTTATATCATTCCCTTAATCGGTTGATGGCTGCACCGAATTCTGGTGAGCAAAATGAAGCCATCAGGGTTGATGTTTGATTTTCCTTTGTGTTATGATTGAAGACAAAAGCACATGGTAGAATACGACCGTTCGGATACGGTTCACTTTGTTATATGATTGGGTGGTGCCTATTGCTCAGTCTATTGTCATAGCCCTTTCATTTAAGGAGAGACCCCTTCATAATTGACCCAACCCATCCCTTGCTGCTCCTTCTCGCCTTCTTAATAGGGCGTATAACATGTTTCCCTTCTGGCTTCACCAATTCAATATTTTAAATAAAAAAAAAAAGAGTGTTAAACAAAACTGAATTTGAGAGCAAACTCCACTACAGTCTCGCTTGGGAATACAGGGCGACAAGATCATCAAATGTATTGGCTTATTTTATCCCTCATACGACGCACATGTTCAGTTTCCTTGAAGAGATGAAAAAGAGTTCCCGTGGAGGCAATGCTTAGTTGCTTCCACCATTAATATAGACGAAAAGAACATGCATTGCACAGTTGATACGTACGTCATAACAAAACAGCAGAAAGAGCATCAAACTCTGCACAAAAACATTAACAGTTGCAGATCCCTTTAGGCCTTTACCTTCAAATCCTCCTCCTTTAAATTAAAAACTGATCATGCTGCTCCTTGCCCCCTTACATTTTTACAATTTCATGCTTCGGAAAACATTATATATGAGGCCAAAAAAGAGAGTATCAGAATAATAAAAAACAGCGGTGAGAATATGAACGAGCATCAATTATATACGAATCAAATAGTGGTGGGGGATGGGGCCTGCAACTACGCAACAACCAGCCGTCCGGTGATAGGCCCCACATCGGCACATGCCCTTGTGCTTCCAGCTTCCTCAGCATCATATATATACCGTTCCAATAATAGCCACCAGCTGTAAAAATCCCCACCCATCAATGCCCTCACAAGTATTCCCATGCCCATCCAATTCTCACACTTCAATTCAAGCCTTCTAGCATTAAGTTCAGCTCTCAATAGATACAGACAGGTTCAGTTTCTTGGCGATTTCGTAATTCTCTTTTCTTTGGCCATTGCATGAATATACATTTCAAAGCGATAAGATGTGTTGAACATTTCTTGAGTCAACCTAAAAGATAGTCTCTTTCAAACTGAGTAAAAGAAGTTTCCATCCTGTAATTTTTCTGGCTTTAGTTTTTATGACTTTAGTTATTTCTTCTTGTGTTGAGAAATAGGAGAGAATTACACATGGCAAATTTTCAAATTCGAGAGGACCATTTGAGTTACCAACATAGCATCACGAACATTTAAGGTAATGTTGATGCGTCGGCACAGCTAACAAGATCCCACTTTTCTACCCATTTGGGCAACTTGACAAAAATGAATGAAGCATTTATATTCAGACAAAGAAAACAGGACCATCAGGATAAAATTTGTTCCTGATTTTTACAGTAACTAACTCAACAAAAATCCCAATTCGTGTTTCGAACCGCTGATATTTCTCACAAAAAGAATGGATCCCAACAATTAACTAAAGAATGGACAGAAACTTACAGAGTGGAAGGGATAAACGAAGAAATGGGGGGAAAAAAAAAAGACTTACATATCAAGGAGCTACGACCAGGTTCTAGTGGATTGGTTCCTGAATTGAATTGAAGTCATCACTTTTGCGACCATATAACAATGTCATCTCGTAAATGAGTGGAACAGGATTGAGATCCTGCATGGAGGACCATGCCTCAGCACTTCACTGCACTGTCCCCATAATAACTTGTCATTGAAGGATATTATAGGGCCGGGACGTGTCCAGTGTCCACGCTTGTTTTACTGTTTTCATACTTAATCATCTACAACTCTTTACATGCTTTTCCTGTCAATTTGGTTTCAATCAACCTGCTCGCCAATCAAGTCTAGACCTACTAACAGGAAGGATATCCCTTGGAATAATAAGAAGTAGAAATGGATTCCCTGAGCTGATAAGAGACTCCTCACCGAAGCTGTTAGTAGCAGGAAAGCCAAGGCAAGCTCCTTCATGTAAATTCTGTTGTGCTTCTTCTTCTTCTTCTTAGAAGCAGCCTTTTGCTCCTGTCTTTGTATTTCCTCAAGATCAGGCGCTGATGCTGCTTTCTGATGCTTTGGCTCTTTATGAACCAATGAAACAAGATCGCCCTCTGACGAACGACCAGATTTCTTGGTCACAACCCACTCATACGCACTGCCAAGCTGGAATAGTCCAGAGATCATGGCATTGAATTTGGTCACCGACATGGTATTCTCAAAAAGGAGGTAAGGTACGATAAAAGGGAAGGATTTTGGAGCTGGAAGGATGTTAAGAAATGACATAGTGGCTGGGATGTAACACACAACCCAAGCAGGAAGCTCAGCCTCCGGAACAAACATTGTCATGGGTAGAATTATACAGAAAAGGGTAAATGAATAGAAGGGCAATATCAATTTTCTCAGTAGAAAGAAGAGGAATATTAAATTGAATTTCATCCCCACGCTTATCTGTGAAAACAAAATTGGTGCCACAGTTATTATGTATACACCATAATTGAATTACACAAGGGTAGTTACATAAATTTAACATATGCATACCTTGCCCCGTATGATGTCAGGCAAACAAAGGCGAAATAATTGCATTGGCCCCGAATGCCATCTATGCTGTTGTTTCCTGTAAGCTTCGTAAGATTCTGGAAGTTCACACTGGCACTGCACTCATTAAAAAGCAATGATCAGTTTTAAGAATTGATGAGCAGTGGCATGATATATCGATGGTATGAATTAAAGTGAGGCACACCTCCACGTCATTAAGGAAAATAAATTTCCAGCCATGGAGATGAGCTCGGACAGCTATGTCCATGTCCTCAACAGTGGTCCTCTCCAACCACCCACCAGCTTCCTCCAAAGCCTTAATTCGCCACACTCCAGCCGTTCCATTGAACCCAAAGAAATTAATGAAAATACCATTCACTTGCTGTTCGACCTCAAAATGGAATGCCAGATTAATGTTCTGTAACCTTGTAAGCAAATTTTCATCCTTGTTCACAAAGGACCATCTTGCTTGAACTAGTCCTAATTCCTCATTATCCTGCAGTAGCAGCAAGTAGATTTATTTATATACATCTAACTATACTTGTAAGCTAATTGAAAACAATAATTTCCTTTTGAATCATCTCATTATGCGCCACTGCACGGATTACTTACCTTGAAATGAGGAACAGTTCTTTTAAGAAAATCAGGGGTGGGCTGGAAATCAGCGTCAAAAATAGCAACGAACTCGTAGTCTTTTACATAGCTACAGTTCATGGCAGACTTGAGATTACCAGCCTTGTACCCTTGCCTAAGCACTCGGTGTCGGTACACTATGTTGGCACCCTCTTGTTGCCATTTTTCCACCTCTTCCTTGATCATCACCTGTGTTGTCGGGTCATCAGAATCATCCAGAACTTGAATCAGCAACTTGGATTTGGGCCAATCCAAATTACAAACTGCAGCAATTGACTGGTGATAAACCTGAGCACAAAGAAACTTAACCAGTAAGATTAACATAAATGAGAAACTCAAGGTGAAAAAAAATTAATAATATGCCCAACCTTACCTCTCTCTCATTGCACATGGGGATCTGCACTAGCACCATGGGAAAAAATCCCTTCTCACCAGACTCTAGATCTACAGCTCCTTCTTTAGGAACAGGTTTGATCTTCTTGAATCGAATCCAGAAGCAACCCAAACAAAGAATCAGTCTATCCAAACTCTGAATAAGGAAAAGCACAATGCACGCATTGGCCAGGAATTGCAGGGGCGGAGCTATATACTCCACACGAATCAAAACCCACCGGGAATAGAACCAGTCGAAAACATCTTTCACTCCGAAGGATGTTAACCATACATAGTCCAGTTGAAGATGTGGGGTACCGAAATGCCAACCCTTAAAGTAAGCAGTTACCTCAAAGCACACAGGAACACTTTGATACAGGAATAGAACCTGCTCTTCACGGTAGGGTTTTCCTTTTCCCTGCCGCCGATTTCATTATCGTGGTCGGCATCGACGTCGGTTCTGCCGGAGGCGACGCGGCGCTTCACGGCGGACGCTAGACCGAACAATGCGGGGGCAATGGAGGTCAAGCAACCGGCCGCTCTGTGAGCTTTGAGGAGAAGAACCCAAGTGAGTTGCTTGGCGTTTTTGCCCCTGCCTTTGTCTCTTGCACGACCTGAGTGGTCGGAGATGAGGAAGTCGTCGTCAGAAGGACCCTCAAGCTCAACCATGGACCAATTGGGGTTCTCCATCTTCACCACCACTGGGGTGCCCCGATGGCCCTCTTTCCCCCACCAATTGAACAAGGGCGCCATTGCTGGGTCTGATCTAAGAATCCCACCTCAAAAACACAAAAAAAATAATTACAAAACTAATTTGCAATTTCCACTTTCCCACCAGCTCACTCCCTCAAATTTTTTTCCTGGTACTTTTTCCCGAGCAAAACGCTTTGATTCCGAGAAAATAGGTAGTGAAAGACAACTTAAAACCAGAAAGGTGAGGCAAAAGGCTATAACTTTGATCTCATTGTGGGAAAACAGAAGGAGAGCGGGAAATGGAAGCAGTGAAAAAGGCGTGGTGTAGAAAGCAGAGCAAGGCGTTAGTGAGCGACGGTGGCATTCGAAGTCAAGTTATGCTTGAACTGTTTCTCAGAGGGAGGGGGGTTGTGAGGTGGAGAAATAGAACCAGAGAAGAACACTACGACGACCTGCCGGGTGAAGCCAATACGGTTCCCATCCAATTACGGCTCGCAACGAATAAGGAGGGCTGAGGCGTAATAATAAGAAGAGGGAGTGAGAGGAATAACCAAAGAAAGGGGGGAGACACTTAAAACAGAGGGTAACAGCTCAACACGTCTTGGATTTTGATTCCAACTATTCTATTCCCTTTTTCTTTGGAAAAAAATGTCTAGACGATAATTCCACGCGAATATTACCCAGAAAGCACGTTCATCTGTCAAAATCTTTCAAGTTCAAACTTCACCAACATCTCGTTAAATTACGAGTTACGACCAAAGAATTCACAGACTCCTCCACAAAACTCTTGACATATTCTAATAGAGAAAGAGACCAGTCATCGAATCACCGCATCAGTAATAAAAGACCACCTTGATAAAATTGGACAAAATCGCCCTGGAACACGGTTTTTTCCCCCCATTCTTTCTCCTCAGTCCTAACTTTCCACCAACTCCTTTTAAATCTCAATAATCATTCACAACTACTTTTCTCTTCGCATATGGTAAGAAATCGTAATTACAAAGGTGATCCGCGTGCTGAAAACGCAAGGCAAAAAGCCTTTCCTCCGTTCTGTGGTGAGCCCCCGTCGCGCGTGAAACCAAGGGCAAAAGGGGAATTTCGAAAAAGGCGAAATTTAGAAACTGGGACCATTAAAAACTGAAAAGTCTCACGCCAAAGCAGGCACGGAGAAAGGTCAGCATCTAGAAATGTGAATATGCACTCACATATTAGGGGTCTGTTTGGGTAGCACCCCAAACCATGGTTTGGGGGCCCAAACCATGGTTTGGGGAAAATGCTACCCAAACACTCTTCCAGATATTTAAAACCATGGTTTGGGGGAAACCATGGTTTTGAACCCCCAAACCATGGTTTCACCAGAAGCCATTTCGATCTGCTTCTGGCTCCAATTATTGAAGGGTGATGGTGGGGCCCTCCTCACATGACCGAACAGCCCCCAATTTCCTCTGCCTTCAATTATTCATTCGGTCGAAACTTCAAGCTCCCATTCCAGATTTCCAGTCGGTCCATTCCAGAGCTCCAGTTCGGTCGTCCTCTCGCTTTCTTCCCCAGTTCCATTCATCGTCAAGCACGGTCTTCCTTTCCCCCTTCGGTCTTTCCTCCTTGACAGAACGAGTCGCCGCCCGTGTTGAAGAGTCGCCGTCCAGCCATGGTTTGAAGGTGCCGGTGAGAGAAATCGCAGCTCGGCGGAAGAAGATCGTAGCTATCAGTTGTGAGTTCCGGCGCTCAGGTTCGCTCTGAAGCATTCCGCCGCGGTCAGTGTTCCCTGGCTCTTTCTCCGGCGCTCAGGAGCCGCTCTTCTCGTTCGTGCTTGGTCGCCACTAGCCCAGTCGCAAGTGCTCCTCCTGCAGCCGTCGCCGCCGCCGCCGCCGGCCCCGCTGCCTGGTCCGTCGTTCACTCTCGTCGCCGTATTCAGTCCTCCATTCAGGTGAGTCTCTGAGTTCGTTTTAACGACCAAGGTGTGACCGTTAGTTCCCGGCTTAAGTTGATCCACTTTGACGAACACCGGCTTCCTCTTTGCGGGTTTATTTGCCCCACCGCCTTGCTGATTCGATGCCATTGTTTCCGATCCCGGATTTCTGTGTTTTTCCTTCACGGATTCACAAGTTCAGAAAAAATAATATGCTTATGGGCTCTATCAGTCTATTGATTCTGAAAACTTATGTGAAATTCAAGTTGTTTGGCCGATTTATGCTCTGTGATGTGCTGCTGCAATAAATACGGTTATCATGGTATTAATCTGAAGCAGCCAAAGCTATTGAGTTATGATTGTTTATCATGGTATTTAAAATCTGATAAATTAAAGGTGTATAAATATGTCCGGTTGGTTTGAGCATGATACAGGGTATCTTCGGTTTGGTTGATAATCTGTGAATTTGTTTTTGGTTCTGCTCTCATACGTAAAAATAGAGCAAATGGAAATCTGTGTTTAATATTTGTAGTTTGCCGCCTTATAATTTTTACGACCACTCAACGTTGATGATGACGGGCTGTCTAAAATTTTGTTTTATATACTCTGCATTGAACTTGTCATGGCTTGTGGTCTGACCGGGTTAATTTTTTTTTTTTCAGTACTGGCTTGGGGTGTTGGTGGGTGCTGGTTTTACTTGGTTGATAGTTATTGCTGACGTTCTGCTTCAGTGGTGGGTTGATTTTCATTCGAGGATTCATTTGTGTAGCTTGGTTTATCTAATTTCAGTCAGAGGATTGGTTTTCGGTCTATTCAAGTGATTAGTTTTTCCAGAGACATATATTTGTAATCCTTATGTTTTATTTGAGTAATCCTGTTTTGAATAAAAGTATAGGATGTTGTATTTGTAGTAATTAAAATTAATTTATTTAATTTTTTTCTAGTCATGAAAGGAATGGGAACATAATTCCATTTTATGTGAATTAAAAAAATTAATTACTTGTTATAAATACAGATTGAATTTCTTTTTGTTTTAATAATAATGAAAGAAAGAAAAATGTTAATATGGTATTCATAGTTGATTTGGGTAACAATGACACTTGTTATTTCAATTAATTTTGAGTGATTAACCTGTGATGACTGAAGAGCTGTAATTGTGATATAGCATAATGGGTAAGAATACGGTGAAAGCTTCCTGGGACCTACGAACCACGAAAGTGTTTATTGACCTCTGCATTGAACTTGTGCAACAAGGGGAAGAAAAGGTACTAGCTTAACAAAGAAAGCTTGGGATATTCTTGCTGATAACTTTACTGCCAAAACTGGAAGAGTATATGAAAAAGCTCAATTAAGAATAAATATGATTCCCTACGAAAAGAGTGGCAGACATGGGATAGGCTGCTTCGTGAGACGGGATTGGGATGGGATACTGAAAGGAATACTGTCAGTGCAACTGATGATTGGTGGGAGAGAAAAATAAGGGTAATTATTGAACCTTTTGATCTTACATTTTCTCTACTTGTTAACGTTTTGTGTATATTTACTGTTTTTGGAATATTTTATGATATTATTGGTGTCTAATGTGCAGGAAGTTCCAAACTACGAAAAATTCAGAGAAAGAGGACTTCAATTTAGGGATCAATTGACTCAACTATTTGGGAGTGTGGCTGCAACTGGACCACAAGCATGGGCACCTTCTTCCATGACACTTCCAAGTGAAGGAACACCGAATGAAGATTTGGAAGAAGGGTCCGGAGATAGTGATGAAATTTTAGGCGCACCAACTGGTATAAGTGGGGAATTTAACACAGTGAACTTCAATGATAATAGTGGAGGTAGTGGAGGCAATACTGAATTGAGGCAGGATACCAGTGGTGGGGGTACAAGCAGAGGTAGGAGTCGACCTAGTAGCTCACTGGGGGTCAGAAGGAAGAGTGAAGTGAAGAAGAAGAAACGCGCATCTCCCTCTATGAAAATAGCGGATGCAATTAGCAAGATTGCTGAAAACAAATATTTCTGAGGCCGAGCGTGGAAATGAGGTCATTTCACGAGCAGAAGCTAGAAGGTTGGAAGAAGAAGCGCGTGCTATGAAATTTCAATTAGGGGAGTCCTGTCTCACCTGAAAACAATTCCTGAAGTTGTCAGTGATCCCGATTTCTTTAGACGGTGCACACAACTCCTTATGGAACGGCCGGAGGCACGGGAAATGTATGCAGCTCTGAAGGATCAGAAGGAACAACTTCTACCCATTTTAGAGCATTATACTAGGGATTTATGACTTGTTTATTATATTAGACAGTTCCATATGTGTATGTTTTATGTGACCAGTGGATTGTTATATGAATCAGACTACTCTGTAACTTTTATAAATGTTTCGTAATTTCTACGTAGGAATTCTAAACTTTATGTGTATGTGCACAGGATAAAACGAATATGGATGATGAAATTAAACATGTGGAAGAGCATGCTAAGGGACGGAAAAAAGGGTTAACAAAGTTGCAGCATTGGTTGGTGCATACGCTACTTTGAACTTGTGTAAGGAGCCTCGGCATACAAGTGCTTATACAGGCTGCATATGGGTAAGGGATGTTTTAGATGGCAACTCCAGTCGTTGTTATAACATGTTTAGGATGGAACGGGATGTGTTCTTAAGTCTGGTGAACAAATTGCAACAACATGGTCTAAAAGAAACTAAAAATATAGGGATACATGAATCAGTTGCAATGTTTTTACATACCGTTGGGCATGCACTTAGTAGTAGAATGCAGCAAGAAAGATTTCAACATTCAGGGGAGACAATTAGCAGACATTTTCATAATGTCCTAATGGCATGCTGTAGACTTGCCATGTCTAATATCAAACCAAAAGATCCAACATTCCGGCATGTTCATACAAAAATTCGGTTTGGTAAATACTGGCCTTTTTTTAAACATGCTATTGGAGCAATTGATGGCACACATGTTTCCTGCGTTGTCAGTGCAACAGATCAATCAAACTAAATTTATCTCTAGGAAAGGAACAGTGTCACAAAATGTCATGGCGGTTTGTGATTGGGACATGTGTTTTACTTTTGTCTTGGCCGGATGGGAAGGTAGCGCACATGATGCTCGGATATTTGATCATGCCCTCACAACTCCTTCAATGAACTTTCCCCATCCACCTGAAGGTATTTTTTTATTTCCTATATTTTTTTATATTTAGCTTAACAATAGAAATATAATTTACAATAATTTCATTTTTTATATAGGAAAATATTATTTGGTGGATGCTGGATACCCAACACCGAATGGATATCTCGGCCCATACAGACGGGAGCGTACCATTTGCCTGATTTTCGAAGGACATCTGGGTTTGAAAATGACAATGAGATCTTTAATTATTTCCATTCAAGTTTAAGGAGTACAATTGAAAGAACTTTCGGAGTTTGGAAAAAAAAAGTTCGCAATCTTACAAAACATGCCATCTTATGATTTTGAAACACAAGTTAAAATCGTTTGTGCAACGATGGCTATACATAATTTTATTAGAACGACATCTATTACTGATCCTGGATTCGTTCAGTTGGAAAGAAGAAGGTACTTATGCAGAAGATGATGATGATGGGGTTAGATTTTCACGTATACATTCATCAATTCAAT